AGACATTTACAGTCCATATGCTCCTACGCACGGGACATACGTCTGTGGTCACTGCTCTCATCAAAAAGGCACAAACCATATAAAAGCCTATGGCCATTATTTCATTTAAATGATCTTGTGCATGCGGCTGTTGTGAGGGGCAGTGCAGTTTTTACTTACAGACAGATGCTGGTTTGGACTCTGAAGATGAACTGGTTTTCAATGGGTTCTGCCTGTTCAGACCTCTATCACATCTGTCTCTCTCTCTCTCTCCATTTCCTTGTTTCTCTCTCCTTGTCAAACAACAGTCTATGGTCAAACACCTTGGTGCAGATTTGATCATTTCTTCTTATCATACATGTAGAGATCCAACTTCATTCCCTGAGAGTATTAACCAGGCTCTTGGCACTACACAGCCAGTCTCCTCTCTGCCCGCAGAGCCACCAGGAGAGGAGGGTGAGTGAGCAGGAGAGAAGGGGAGAGTCATATGTCTTTTCCCTTGCTCCTCAGATCAGAATGACCGGAAAAGTTCCGTGGCCCATATCAAACTCTGTGGGTGCGCTCTGGCTCCTCTCTCTGTTACTGCGACAGTGAACCTTGTCATTTTGGTCTTAAAATGTTCATATTAACCCACTCTACATGACCCTGCCGTTTTTATTTCGCTAATTTGTTCTTATAATATAAAACCTCCAAATTTGGTCATGTAACCTTTGAACCTTTGCACCATGAGCTTCATTTGAGTGGCGCTGAACACTCTGTACTCTATTACTCACTGTTTTTGTAAGAAATATCCAAACTTATGATCCACAAATGTTGAACCATATCATTATTTGTTAAATGCTGACTCCAAAAAGTTGCCATATTAATGTCCTTTCAACTGACAGCAATCATGTCGTTGGGGTTGAAAAAGGGTAACGCTGGAGGCTCTGTTCTGTATGAAGCATTGTTACTCAAGTTTGACTTTAATCTGAGCTTTATTTTAACACAATCTGAACATAAAGAACGGATTTAGCTGGAATTGAAACAGTTGAGCTGATTTGTGCTTTTAAACAAATCCCTTTTCACGTAACATCAAAGTCACAAGCGAGCTAGCATTAGTCAACAGGTTGTCAGTTAGTCACTCTCACCTCTTTGTTAAATCCATTTTGTATATTTTCTTGAGTTTTCAGACCATCTTAGAACCTTTTTGGGCAGTGTTTGCTAATGCATGCATTGCTTCACCATGGAAACACTGAACATTCCCGTCATAGAAATACATGAAGAACACCCCACCCCAGTCTGATGTCACTGCAAAGGAACAAATACATTTTTAAGAAGGCCTCAATAGTGTTGTTGTTGTTTTTATCTGTGCATTTACAGAACAAGTTTATAAAATTGTAGTTGTATTTTTGGCTAATTATATGTTATGTAATCTGAAACTGGTCCGTTAGGGTGTGTGGGGTAGTGATTGAAAAAACATACAGGAGCTACATAGTTTCACTGGCTTCTCCACAGGGCGTAAACTCAGACCATGCGTGCGGCTACATGTAAAGAACTTCATGGAACTTTTCAACGGTGCTGAACAACTAACGTACATTAAATCAATTATGATATAACCTGGAGGAGAGGAGGGAATAGAATTAACATAGTGATTTTAAGGTCCTATATTGCACAAAATAGACTCATGTGAGGTTTAAGTCATATTAGAATGCTGTTATTTTCTCCAAAACAGAACTGGAGTTGTGTTTTGTTTCATTCACACAGGTTTGAATAACGCTTTATTATTAATCTGTCTACATCTCCAAAGTTCAAATGCTGTGTTCCACTTTGTGATGTCATGAAGTGGTACGTTTGAAGTTAACAGTTATACCTTTTACATTTTGTTTAGTAGACTAAAAATGAAATTATTCAAATGATTCTAGTGAAGGTGTATGGAGTTTAAAAACACAGTAGAGAATTTCCTGTATTACCACATGACATCGTGACACGGAACAGAGTGTTTTCAGTCTAAGAGAAGAATTCGGCCTAAATATGCAGGTTTTGTGTTGCCAGGCTGGCGCCACCTAGTGTCTCCGCTCAATTTCATTTCTCTCCAGTGACTAGGTCAGGAATTGGAATATATTAGACAGTTTGCAAGAACCCTGGAAGTGCAAGTTCATGCACCAGTCATACATTCTGTGTTGGCAACGATTCCCGAGAACGAGGATTTAAAGTCGGAACAAAGAGAATGTTTGATGAATTTTACCAAGGGGAAAGACGTTACTGCCCTTCTTCCTACGGGATTTGGGAAAAGCTTAATATATCAGTTAGCCTCGTTAGCGGCGCATTACATACATCATGACCAAATAGCAGCGATTGGTTAAATTAAAAAAGTGCCTGATCAAACGAATTCTAATGCTGCGAGGTCAGACGGTTTCCACGAAGTGAAACCGGCTGATGAATCAGGCTAGGTTTTGTATGTTGTTTTGTGTGAATGAAACAAAACACAACTCTAGGTATGTTTGTTATGACAGCAAATCAGAAAATAGCATAATATTTAATATATTTAAAAAACAAACAAACAAAAAAAAACTTATTTGCAAGTGGAATGAGGTGCACAGATAGATATCATTTAGCCTGCTTTCACATTTAAAGGGCCCCTATTTTGCTATTTTTACCTCCGCCAAGGAGGTTATGTTTTTGCCGGCGTTTTGTCTGTTTGTTTGTTTGTCTGTTAGCAACATAACTCAAAAAGTTATGGACCGATTTTGATGAAATTTTCAGGATTTGTTGGAAATGTGAAAAGGAAGAACTGATTTCATTTTGGGGGTGATCCGGAAGAAATCCTGGATTCTGGATCACTTTGAAATTTTAGTTGACATTGTGGTAAATGGGGCCAAAAATTTAGTTTCTCAATATCTCGGTTAATTATTGACCAAACCCCATGAAATTTGACTCAGGGATGGACAATGGGATCCTCGTTCATATTCCAAAGGCTGATCCGGAACTGATCCAGAAGACTGATTTTATCGCAATTTATATAAAAAATGGGGGTAGTCCTTGGCGGAGGTCTGCGCTCTCTGAGTGCTTTTCTAGTCTTATCTGTGTTATAATACTGTTTCATCACTGTAACTTCAAAGCTACCACTTCATGACATCACAAGGTGGAACAGAGCATTTTGATCTTTGAAGATATAGATAGACTAATCATAAAGAGTTACTCAATTATGTATGAATGAAACAAAACACAACTCCAGGTATGTTTCTGATGAGGTAACAACATTCTAACATAGCTTAAAGCTCACAAAAGTCAGTTTAGAGTAATAGGACCTTTAAAGAAGCACTATTTAACTTTTCCTGGGATCCAGTATTCCTGCAAATACTGTTATTGTTTTAAAAATATACTATTTCAGTCAGATATTATTAATCTGATCTGAAATGTCTCCAAAACCCTTAGGACTTGTTAAACATCACTGTATTAATTGTCCACATTTGTTGTAGTCTAACATTACATGAGTCAGTGTGAGATGGAAATCCTTAATTGTTGGTGCAATAGGAAGCAGCTGGCTCGTGTCTGGTCCTGTGTGTGAGGAATTAGAGGTTCCAGGTTTAAACTTGTTATATTTGCTCCATGCTCCCTCACCTCTGCACAATCCATGGGCCTGGCAGGAAAATATGAATTCATCACTCCAAATACCCATCAGGAAGCTATGAAGTAACCACAACAGGGAGGAGTCAGAAACCACCAGTTTAAGAGTATTAAAGTATTAAAATGGACTTTTCGTAGCATTTTAAACTTGGCATAGTTGTTTCCTCTCACCATTCATTCACCCGAAGTTGTATTTGGAATGATTCATGCATGTTTGAGCATCTTTAATCGCTTATTTTCAAGATATTTTACCAATCAACCCGTTTTCGTACACCCACAGCTATGTACTAACCCTTATTTTATTTTCTTAGCCAGTGATACGTGTAGGATTTGGCAGTGTTGCGTAGTCAATTTGGTACAATTGAGACAAAATAAAAAATAAAATAATCCATGACTCTATCCATAGGTCAGCTTTGTTGTGACAGCTCCCATTGGGCTCCACAGTTTTCTAACACAGAATTCAGATGTTTCTTTTGCTAAGTCATTTGAGATTAATACTGAATTGGTGGTATTACTCTAATGCAAGGAGCAAACATTTACTTTTGTTAATCAAAAAACTTAAATTTTTGTTTTAATTTTGTTTGGAATGTTCAGCAGTTACCATGGAGACACCATGCACACATATGCAAACAATGTCAAAAAAGTTTTAAGAGTCTCAAGAAAAAAAAACAAAAAAAAACAGATTTAAACATACATTTTCAGGAGCGTGTGATCAGTACGAGTGTTCATGGTTCTGTTTAGGTGTAATTTTCAGCAAAAAAGATGGTAGCTTTTTACTTTTTTTCAATCTTGTTTCACAAACTTTCACTGGACTGATGCAAAACTACAATGAACGTTTTCTACATATATTATCCCGTTAAAAAAAGTTTTAAGCCAGACTCAAACACTGGGGTGATTGGGCTCTGTCACTGTCCCTAGACTCTGGAAAACCACTTGTCCTGTTTAAATGTAAGATCAAAACTAATCTATTTAGACATAATGTAGTGATACTTTGCACAATTTATTTTATTTCATTGTTACTGCGCAACTTTTCTGGTGGAGGGTCCGTCACCTGCTAGTCTTCATGGAGATGTCATTGCTTTGTCAGGAGTGTTTCACGGTATAGATTAAGGTAGACAACTATAGGTTACAGGTCAGATCTAAGGAGAGAGAGAATTATTGTATTTTTGAGCAGTAGAAACACCAGAAATGCATACATACTAACTAGACAGATGTGTTTAATGTCATACCATGGGACATTCCTGGCAAAGCAATGACATGTCCATCCATGGAGACAAGCAGGTGACGGATGCTCCACCTTTAATGTTTTGTATGTTCTCTATAAATAAAGTTTGATTGATTAAATATAAATACATAGACACCTGTCATACGCGACGTTACTATCAACCCAGGTTTCCTATTTTTGTTTCTCACAGGTTTCAAAATGCTCCCCAACTCCACCCGGCCCTTGAATTCAACCGAAGAATCTATAGTGGACAACACCCCAGCTACAGCGATGGGGGCTCTCATCTTGTCTTTCGTCTTCCTTTTGGGTTTCCCCGGCAACATCTTTATAATGTGGAGCATTTTGGCACGTGCCCGGAAACAGAACATTACCACTCTGCTCATTTTAAACCTGGCTATCGCTGATGGCTCCCTTATGGGTCTAACTCCATTTTTCATCATCTACTTAGTCTTAAAAAACTGGATATTTGGGGGAGTATTGTGTAAAGTCCTTTTTTACCTTTGTCTATTGAATATGTATGCGTCCATATATCTGATCACCATAATGAGCTTGTACCGGGTTTTGGCGATACGGTGGCCCCATAAGGTCAGAATTGTCACGGGGCAGAGGACGGTGATGAGAGTTTTGGGGGTGATGTGGGTTTTGGTGATACTGGCTTCGATCCCGGCGCTGATCTACAGAAAGATGAAAAGAGGTGACGTGGGAATGGTCTGCAATTCTTATCACGACACCAACAAAGATGTGAGTAGACTCTGGTTCTAGAAGTAAAATTTTCATTTGTTTTCCCATAAATATTAAAGGTGGGGGGGGGGATACCTGAAATGTACCAGTATGACATGACATAGCTCTACTTTATATTTATTCAGATAGATACAGATTTTATAACTCAAAAAAAGATCACAATCACCTCCCCACAGATCTGACTTGCAACTTAGTCTCGTTTGGTGTACATGAAGATAGAAAGGTTTAATGCCATATTGTGAAACATTACAGACAAAAGCAACAACATCATGGAGAAAGTATTTGATGGACCCTCCACCAGAAAAGTTACACAATGCACCTTTAAGAGTTCAAAACATTGCAGAGGCTAACTGGCTACGCGGTGACTACTATCCATAACGTGTTGTTTTAAGTCCAAAAAGCACATTTAAAATGCAAGATTTTGTGAAATGCTTTAATAACTATCTGATTTATAAAGTTCAGAAGCAGATTAGAAGTAAATGAAGTAAAAGTGCAGGTCTTGTGGTCATTAGCAGTGTTGGGAAGGTTACTTTTAAAATGTATTCCCCTACAGATTACAGATTAAATACCCCAAAATTTAGTTTGTAACGTAATCCATTAAATTACTTAAAGTGAGTAACGTAATCTGAATACTTTGGATTACTTGATTTGCTGTAGAGAAGCAAAGACTAGGATATCCTCACATAAGACGTTTTGTCTGCTAAGACAATGAAAAGCCCCGACTTTACTTAACCGTATTAAAAATATTATTGATAGAAGAGGAGGAGACACGGTCCACGCAGCATGGTTTAGTCCTGTTAAATCCTGTTTTAGTCCTGTTTTAGTCCTGTTTTAGACCTGGTTTTAGTTCTAGTTTAGTCCTGGTTTAGACCTGGTTTAGTCCTGGTTCAGCCCAAAATGTGAAAACAGGAAAATACCACCATGTAATTCATTTATTTTAACAAAGTAATCCAATTACCACTCACTGAAACAGTAACTGTAACCAAATACAGTTACTCATAATTTGTACTCTGATCACGTAACTCCGGTACATGTAATCTGTTACTCCTCAACACTGGTCATTAGCTACCACATCGCTGATTACCCCTGAACAAAAAATGTTTAAACTATATTTTTTTCTAGAGTTGTTAAAAGTATTGAAAAACAGATACTAATTGATACTATAACTAATATCAAAATATCAATCCTAAAAAAGTCCCATTTACAGGACAGAAATGAACCTTTCCTCAACAGCTTTAGAATGATCTTGAGCTGAATAAGAGCACATAGCTTAGTATATGCCCATGGACCACAGTGGAGCCTACCTGGATCACACACACAGATATAAGACCACATGGGAATATAAAAGAAAGTGCTATGATTTAATGCTGAAAACAACATTTTTGTGTTTTTTACTATCATTGTTGTATTGGAATCAGTAATGAGTATCAAGTCTATTCCTTAGTATCAAAATCAGGATTAAAATTTTAGGATTGAACACTAATATCTAGAGAATATGAAGTAGTTTTTCCATATTTTTCACATTTTATACCTCTTGTATCTTCAAAGGTGGTGACCCAGTACATGTTGGAGTTGGTGCTAGGTTTTTGTCTCCCGTACAGCATCATCGTGATCAGCTACATCCTCATCCTGAAGAGAATCAGACAGACCACATTCAAGAGGAGGATCCGCAGCGAGAAGCTCATTTTGGCTATCGTCGTGACTTTCTGTGTGTTCTGGCTGCCCTACCACGTCATCAACATGGTGCAGGTAAAGGGCGCTAGTGTTACATATTTACACTATACCAGTCAAAGGTTTGAACACACTTTTTCATCTTTGGTTCTACTTTATTTCCATGATTATTTACATTGTAAATTCTCACGGAAGGCACAAAAAATATGAATGTGGAATGTGTTCAAAGCTGAAAGTACCTCAAGGCTTAGTTTTAGATTTAAAATGATAATAATAAAAATAGCCACCCTTTGCTTTGATTACTGCTTTGCACTTTTGGCATTTCTTGATTCTGATGTGGCACAGCTGTGAAGTCAAAACCTTTTTATGAGACTTCATCATGAAGATCACAGAGAGAAGGCCAAGGGTTTGCAGTCAACAAAGTAAATGATGGATACTTTGAGAATTTTAATATAAAATATATGTGGAACTATAATGGCCCTTTAGCTATAACTGTGTATATGGTGTCTGAAGAGAAATGTTTCCTTGTCATTCTTTGGCAGTTTTAGTGCAAACTGGGTACATCTGCAGCTTTCTGCTCAAAACACCCAAATCTAAGTTTCCAGTACCTGGTGACATATCCAAATAAAGGTTCCAAACACCTGGTTCCAAATGCCTGGCTGTAGGAGCAGAGTTTGAAGTGTCACAATCACAGTGCTCCCTATACCTCCAAACCCAGCCCCTCCTCCCCTCACTCCCTCCTTTAATTTTTCAGACACTGTCCAGTTTAGCAGCTCTGTTTGAAATGTGGTTGTGGTTTGAGTGTACTTTAATTATGTTACTCATAAATGGTCAAAAACATTATCTCTCAGGTGAAACCTTAGTTCTCCATTCTTTTAAGAACAACCCCCCTGTTTTGGTGCTGTAAAATGTTAACCAGTAAAATCCAAATAATAATGAATTGTCTGTTCTATTTTAAACAGGTCACAAGTGCTTTATCTCCAGAAGGACCAGTAAAAGACAGGTAAATAACTTCAACATTAACACAACCCCATGTAAAATGCAGATGACAAGCCAAACTACTGATTTCACTAAAACACAGTAAACAAACCAAAAAGTACTAGTTTATTATTTTACTTCATGGTTGGACATGTGAATCTGACCTATGTACAGATAATTCCATAACTGTTACCTAGCAACCATACTGTAAACAAGGAACAAATACCTGCACAATAGTTATGATTAGATTAATGAAATGCAATGGCAGCATATTTATTTTGTTAAAGAAGTTTGTCCGCGAATTTTGTTCCTTGGGCAAAATGGTCTTATGTTTTAGAACTCAGCACTACTCAACTTTTTCCCCCCACAAGTTAAATAAATTATAAATATTTAGCACAGGTACTATTCCAACAAACTAAGTCATAATTAGAAAAACATGAAAACCTGTTATACAGGGGGTATTACGCAAAATCGACTTTTTGGAGCTTTATACCATGTTATAATTGTTGTTCCCTTATCAAAACCATTTCTGAAAAGATTTGAAATGTCATCCATGCATGTTTGAGTAATCTAGTGATCTCTCCTGGGCCCAGTTCAAACCCTCCTTACGGTTCGTTGTAAAATTCTGTCCAATGATCAGTCACAAACCTATATCACCCATGCTCCCACACAGCAATTTTCCATAAATATACAAAAGCATGTTATAATACACTACAACTTCACAAACCTCACGTGATGTGCAGTAGGTTCATTAGTGAACTACATGGCCATTTGGGTCTCCTTGGGCATGAATTACGGCATCAATGCTCCGTGGCATGGAAGAGATCTCCCTGTGGCACTGCTCAGGTGTAATGGAAGCTCAGGTTGCTTTGATAGTGGCCTTCAGCTCATCTGCATTGTTGGCTTTGGTGTCTCTCATCTTTCTCTTGACAATTTCCCAGAGATTTCCTATGGGGTTGAGGTCAGGTGAGTTTGCAGGCCAATTAAGCACAGAAACACCATGGTCAGTGGTTACCTTTGGCTGTGTGAGCAGGATCCTACAGGAAAATGAAATCTGCATCTCCATAAAGCTTGTCAGCAGAAGGAAGCATAAAGTGCTCTAAAATGTCATATAAGATGGCTGCGTTGACTGGACTTCAGAAAACACAGTGGACCAACACCAGCAGATTTGGCAGCCCAAATCATCACTGTGGACTTTGGAAACTTCACACTGGACTTCAAGAAACATGGATTCTGTGCCTCTGCACTCTTGATTTCTAAATGATTTCTAAAGGCTGCAGTCATCCCTTTTGCTGGTGCACCTTTTCCCGCCACCAGTATGCTTGGATATATCACTCTGTGAACAATCAGCTTCTGATTTTCTGAAAGCCATATTCATAAACACTTCATGAAATAAAGCTTTAAAGCTTCATTCTATGTGACTCTATATAATATATGGGTTTGATTTTCTGAAATAACTGACTGAAAAATATTTAATTTGTTCAAATTTTTTGAGATGTATCTGTATGTTATGTGTTGGCAATTAATACCCCACAGAAGTGTATTACCCCTTCTTGAAACCTTCTAACCACTATAATCTCTGCTTTTTTCATTAGGTTAGACCTGATTTGGCACAGGGGCAGAGCCGTGGCTGCATCCATCGCTTTCATCAGCAGCTGTGCAAACCCGGTGCTGTACTTCTTCGCTGGAAAGTCGTACATTCGGAGAGAGGGGATGTCATTTATGGCGAGACTCTTTGAACGCACCGGACTAGACTCTGCCACGAGGAAGAGTCGGCACAGCCATAACAGCAGAGATAGAGACAAGGATGCCAATGTGATGCTTAAACAGAAGGGGGAAGAATCAGTCACAGAAAAATCAAGTTCAGATCACCTGAAGCCAGTCAAGATCGAGAGGTAGTTGAACTTTTCTGCAGAACAAAAATTTCAATGTTCTGGAGGATTCTGCTGGTTCACCTTGAATCCTGATGTGAGTCTCCTGTGGTCTGCTGTTCATCTGGAGAAATGCGTCTGTCGTGAATTGAACACTGACACGTCTCTCAGTGATTGACATGTGGATATAACTTCTATCTCTCAGGAACAGAGGTTTTAATTTCTTTAAAACATGTATTGTGATGATGATAATAATGCTAAATTCTTATGCAGCTCAAAGTCATTTAACAATTCTGTGCATTGTTCATTCATGCAAAACCTTGTGACTTGTATTGTAGTCACAGCTGGGGCAGACTGATAGAAGTGAGGGCACTCTCTCTCTGCACCATCAGCCCCTCTGACCTGAGCTGGCTCACACCATATTGATCTGTGTTTCACTCTGAATTGAGTTCTACATATTTATCCATCTGGAATGGTTCTCGCTGCAAGTGATGCAGTGATGAACATTTGGAACATTCCAACATAACATAACATTCAAGCAGAGCAAGGCCAAAAGTCAAACTTTTGTTACATTCAGTTGAGAGGAAAGCACAGACATCTTCACAAATGTGCAAAGATAGTTTTTCACAAATTAAAGTATGTTTCGTGTTGCTAGTTTTGTTTTGGTTTGCTTGGGTGCTTTGCCTTCTGCACAAACCTTAATTCTGCTCTGTGATTGGTCCACCTGCTGCTTTGTGAATTTAAACTTTACAGCGGAGAATCCATCTTGCTGTGAAAAGTTACCTCTGACCACTACCAACACACACACACATACAGACACAGACCACACTCATGCAAGGCGACATTATGCATTAGCAGATACATGTCTTTAGATTGTGTGAGAAAAAAAATAAAAAACACTTTCACTATACATACTACCTACCTATACTGCACTATGAATGTAATGTAACTTGAGGCTCTCAGGGAAAGCAGCTTTTAGCCCAATCAGACTAAAAGTCTCCTGGCTCCTGCAACAGCTGCAAAGTCACCATGTGTACATTGTGAGTGAAAGAGAGAATGGGAGGACAGGGGGAGAGAGGGGCCTGAGAAAGAGTGAAATGTCAGTGTGTGCGTTTCTGCGTGTGTGATATTTTGGTATTTGATTCTCTTGACACATTCACTGTGTTTATTGTTTTGTTTTTTTTTTACAAATAAGCCTACATCTTTTTCGTGAACAGACTACAAGCCATTTTGGGGTTAAACACTGTGATACCTGCATCAGATTACAGAAGTGTTAATCCACAGGTGTCAAACATAAGGCCCAGGGGCCGGATCCGACCCTCCAAGACCTTTAATCCGGCCCTCGGCTGATTTTCGACTAAAATATTTTAATTATATTTTCTATTAAAATATTGGTAATTTTCTGTGCATCTTAGCAGAGCAGCATGTCCAGCGCCTCTGTGCATGTCTGCCTCCCACCAGAGCAGCACAAATGAAGAGTTGTCTCTTTCCAAACGCTCTTAAAGGACGATCTTTTTGACTGTTGACTGTGACACCCTTATCAGCAAAATGACAAAAATGCGAAAAGTGGACGTTGAGTGCTGGATTTTCCAAGAAAAATTTACTTATTCTTGTTTGCATACAAGTTCATGTTAAAACATTGTGTTGAAATAGCATTTTTTAAAAGTTTCAGGTTGTTCATAATATTATAATATTTTATAAAAGAAAGAGTTCATCAATTAAAAAAGATTTCTGTAATAGATTTGCATTTCTCTGCACAAATATTTGAACTTATTGCTATTTTTGGGGTTTATATGCCATGAGTTTTCTGATCCGGCCCCTTTGGGATCAAAGTAGGTTGGATACAGCTCCCGGACCAAAATGAGTTTGACACCCCTGTGTTAATCCATGTTTGTGTATGTGCCCCTATTCAAATAAACAACACATAAATAAATAATATGCACAATGTAAATACTAGAATTTGACACCATTTAGTGCTGATGTTTTCTTTTGACTGGACATTTCATTGAATTCATGTTAGGTCAAGCAACAATTCTCTGTAAAATTGTGTATATATGTACCTAAATGTAAATAAGATTTTTTTTTTTTATGGTTTGAAATTAGTTCTAATATATAAACAGTTTTGTTTTTGTTAATTTTTTTATTTCATAATTTTTATAGTGGATTTTTACTGTATTACAAATACACAGAGCTCATCAATAAACATGACTGGCTTTTGAAAAAGACTGTACCTTATCTTTTGATATAACCACACATCATGACAGAGCTTTTCAAAGGAACTATTAGGCAATTGCTTCTCAAACCTTCCACAAAAAGTACCACTAAAGATTTGGCTTTCTGATTACTACCAGATCTAAACAAGGCTTATAACAGGACTATTCCAGGTCTAAAAGTGGACTACATCATTTCCACTGTACTCAAACCCACAAACTGAAGAGCTGTCTGCATACCATCTGAAAAACCTGGCGTACTTCAGTTTGAGAAACATTGAGATACACAATGATGAAAAAGTCAAATTTCTTACATTTTTATTAATCCATGCTTTTTTTTGAGAAACTTTTAGCCACATCTGCCCTGGAGACTGACAGAAGCAAGATCTACCAACTACAGATAAAAAACGCATTGAAATTATAGGGACATAACAATAACCGAAATATTGTGATATTACATCGTCAAAGTTCTCACAATAATATTGTGGACCATCACAATATATATCGAATTACAAGTTTCTTTGCTTAAATTAAGAGTTATGATGCAGCATTAGCTAAATAAAAAGGCAGGGAACTACATAGACCATGATCCTTTGCTCCATTTCAGTGCAGAAGAAATAACAGTTCTAAGTAACTAGTCTAACTTTTAAGTCTTAGTTCTTTGGATTAAGTCTTGTCAAGGCATTTTAAGAGGAAAAAGAGGAGGAAATATTAAGTTTTGTTCACCTCCACAAAATATCACAATATCGTACCATCAGATGTATATCGTAAAAATATTGTACCGAGAGACTTGGATGTTGGATACATCCCTAATACATCCCTAATTGTGAACCTTCCCAACATATCGTGAGCTTCCCTGAGATATTGCAATCAATATCATACCAGGAGGTTCATACCGTGATGATATCGTATTGTGAGACTTGGATATCCTTGCACCCCTAAGAAATTATAAAATAAAACTCCACTTATCTCCACTTGTCCCTATTAAGACAATAAGTAAAAATATAAATATATTAGACACAATGGATTCTCGTGAGCTTCAGGCCATGTTATAATGCTTTTACCTCCTCAAAACATACCTGGAGTTCTGAAGTTTTTTGTTACATTCACACATGTTTGAGCAATCTTTTGTTATTAGTGTCTACATTTCCAAAACTCAAAATGCTCTGTTCCACCTTGTGATGTCATGAAGCAGCAGTTTTCTAGTTAACAGCTACATATTGTGTAGTAGAGATTGGCAGTTCTAAGGTTGAAATAATCTAAATGATTCTTGTGAAGGTGTATGAGTTTAAAAACACAGTGGACTGCTTCTTGTATTACCACATGACATCCCAAATTGGAAGTGTTTTCTGTTTGAGAGAAGAACTCAGCCTAAATATGCAGGTTTTGTGTGTTAAACATGTGTGACTGAAACAAAACACATATCAGGGTATATTTCGATGAGGAAACAACATTAAAACATAGATCAGATAACAGCAAGTGCTTTAGAAGTGCTACTGACAAAGCAGATTTTGAAAGCCCTCTCTGACTGGAAATATCTGTTCATTCCTGCTCAAGTTTCACAATGTTCATTTGAGCATAAATTGTGATGGTGTCAGATGAGCCTCGAGGCACCTCAGTTCACGGCCCAAATATGACACAATTCTTAGGTATCATTTTATGGCTGTTGCAATAAAAGAAGTCATATCTCATTGTAAAGGATTTGCAACATTTGAAAATTATGTAGACTTAGACAAACTTTATTGATCCACAAGAGAAATTACTTGGACACAGTAGCTCACACATCGCATTATATTAGAGTAACAAAGAGTAAAAAATATATAAATGGTAATAAAACTTCTAAATAAGTAGCAATAAAAAGAGCAAAAGACTGGTGTCAAATAAGGCATAATTAAAGTTACAACTGTGATATACTGTATTTATATTACAGCATTTCATTTTTTTTTTTTTCTTTACTTGTACAAAAGCAAACCTGGCAGCATACATGTAAAAAAAGAGGAAAAATACAACATAAAGGATTGAGAAACAGCGAGACTTTCTGCATACTCAGCAATCAAAGCACCAAACTCTTATCGGCAAAAGAAGTTATACATTTTGTTCTGAATGATACAAGAATTTTGGAGATGTCTTCCACATTTGAGAGACACATACTACATATTAAAGGATCATCATCATCTTAAGGTTTGGATGAAGGATTTTCACCCATTGTCTGGTCCAGAATGTAGAAGGGGCTGGCTGAGAAAGTAGTTTAATCCAACATCAGTGTGATTTTCAGTGTGAGAGTCTTAGTCATGGCAGGCTTATCTGTATTTACTTCAGTTAATTGCTTTCTTTCTTTCCTTAGACTTCGACAAACTTTCTTGATCCACAAGTCAAAATAACTGAAATCATGATTTGAAAGAAGATTGTCAATTGCTCTGCTTGTGAAGAAACTTTGTGGGTAGGTATTGCGATATTTTTTGAAGAGTCCTGATGATTCAAAATTTAAACAAGCTATTGTGCAAATTTGACTTTTTAGGTCGGTCAAAACTTGTTTCCCTGGAAGTTACATTTACATACAGCTCCTTGGTCTCCTCTTCTACCGGTATGACCCCCTTCGAAGCATCAGTTATCAGTTATCAACCCTCTCTCTAGTTCCAGAACAGGAGCTTGTGGTTCCTTCTGTCCAGCATCACCTCAAGCGCAGTAGGAACATCTGGAAGAAAACCTGAGATGCTCTCTTGAAAACATGTATATGAACTGAAGCATGGGATGACATTGCACTCCTTCTCCTCAGTACCATAAAGGTCGGTCAGTCGGTCATCTGGCAAAAATGCAAACATTCCCCTTAAAACAAACTCATACAAGCTCTCACCATGTTTCTTATGTCCATTTAAGATTACAAAGATCATTAGCCCCTCTACTGTCCATTTTAAGATACCTTTGATCCTTCGTAGTCATCTGATACTTCATGTTTCACTACTTGTTTCACTACTTGTATGTATGAATGAAATCTGGTGTAATATACATTTTTTTAAATCCCGTAAGTGTATATTTGGTGCTTTCATATGTGAAATTTTAAGGTTGTATAACTTATTTGAAATATTGTACCTTCCATAAAATTACTAAAATGTCTTTGCAGCAACTCAAACAGGAGTCCATCAGATGCATTTACAGCACGTACCAAAAACGCAGTGTTGTGGATGGGAACGATGAAGGACAATGAAGGACAAGAGCGTCATCACTGTTCCTTGTAAGGTTTTAGATACACAATTGTCTTCCACTTATGCTACACAGTCACTTTGCATTGGTAAAATAATGTTCAATTATAACAATACTTTATTCCTCAGTCAGGTTAAGGATTAGGAAAGGTCTCGGCATATTTCACATTTTCTTAAAAAAACAAACAAACAAACAAACAAACAAAAACAAAAAAACACTCTTCACTTCACACCTCCGTTTCTAATGAGGCATTTAGGCAGTGTGGCTCCCTCTGCTGTCAGCAACAGGAATGAACAATGGGAAAATAAATGAAGCCCTTATCCACTGTGAATGTTTTGCAAATAGAGCCCGCTTTTCTTGTGAATACAATTTTATAGACTGAGCAGGAGAAGAGGGATTTTTATTTGTGATGCAAAAATCCAGGCAGAATGCAAACGGTGCTGTTTCATGACATCACAAGGTGGAACAGAGCATTTTGAGCTTTGGAGATGCAGACAGACTAATAATAAAATGTTATTCAAATGTGTGAATGAAACAAATCACAACTCTTGGTATGTTTTTGATGTGGTAACAACATTACAATATGGCTTAAAGCTAAGTCAATTCTGCATAATATAGGACCTTTACTCCCCCAATCAGTCCAGGAATCAAACTCATAACCTTCATGCTATGAGAGCCAAGGCACCATGGCAGCCCACATTTTCTAATCATCTAAACATGAATACTGGAAGAAGTAAAAACGTACAAACAAAACAGAAAGTATTCAGACATGCTTTCTAAAAATAAAATTCAAAACAGAAGTGAAGACTGCTCGTTGTTCTTTCCATTAAAAGGGAAATCACATTTTTCATGAGAAAAAGGAAATTCATCAGTTCTGAAAATCTGTTTATCATGTCCATAAAGGCATGTGTTTTAGATTGAGTGAAAACTCAAGAAAAAATTGAAAATAGATTTAAGCAATACATTTTCAGGAGCCTGTAATTAACACAAGCATTCATGGTCATGAGTTTGGTTTTCAACAAAAAGGGGAGAGTGACTAACTTTAAAGACTAAAGATTTTTGGCTAATGCTAACTAGTTTGTGATTGTAATAAAATTTGAGAATGGCTTGTTCAGCAGCACAAATCTGCTCACTTGTTTTAATTTAAACCAGGGGTGTCCAAACTTTTTTCATCAAGGGCCACATATCTAAACACAGATGAAGCAGAGGGCCGATTGAGGGTTGTAGACTGATGCTCAATACAGGGAATAATTGAAATATGTGCATGTTTAACATGTTAGAATGAGCCATCAGTCTTTATTCATGCTAAGATCCTTAAAACCACACACTAAATATTAAATACTAGCTTTGTCAAGGTAGATTTAAAAAAAAAACTTGCAGTAAAAAAATTTTTTTTGATGCAAGGTAATTTGGGCTAATTCACCTGGAAGTCTGAGGGCCAAGAAAAAATTGTCTGATGGCCGCATTTGGACATAGTTTGGACATGCCTGGTTTAAACTAAAGTCAGTTCTTGTCAGATTGAGTTTTTGAAATAAGCAGCTCAGATTAATGCCTCAGATTTCCTCTCATAGATCATTAGTGCAGTTTATTCCCACTGATGTCATTGAAGGCTGTAGACCTTTTGTCATTTTGTCAATTAATTAATCAGTGCTGCCTTAGTCAACTAACCATTTTATTTGGATTGTATGGCAGAAAGAAAAGGTGGGTGTGTTACCTGAAGATTTGGTATTACTGTTGGTATTGAGACTACATTTAAAATTCCATAAAAACATTGTTTCCTGATACCATTTTTCTGCATAAACAGTTGTTTTTGGGTCAGACACACAGTGATACATCATCGTTTCGAGAGCTTTTGTCAGGCCCCCTTTTAGTCAACTATAAAACATTTACTGTTTCTGACAAAAACATAAAAGAATGTTAATACAGTGCTGTAGTGAAGAAAAGTATCTTAGGTGTTTCCTTGAATGTGTTCTGGTCAGGTTTTACACCCCACCACAGGACTAAGACTGTTCTTATGAAGGTGACAAATAACATCCACCTGAACATTGATGAAGGCAAAGCCTCAGGCTTGATCTGGGTGCTGCTTTTGACACTGTTGATTATGGGATACAGATACTAGAGAACTGGGTGGGCATCTCTAGTGCTGCACTAAATTGGTTCAAGTCCTATTTAGAAGACAGGCAGCACTTTGTTGAAATTGGAAACTGTGTCTCAGATCACATGGCCCTGAAATGTGGGGTGCCCCAGGGGTTGACCCTGGAACCCCTTTTGTTCAATCTCTACTGGCAGCAGGGGACTATGGACCAGTGGACTTACTCTGCCACTGCATCAGTGTGTGGATGAAAAACAACTTTCTACAGCTAAACTCAGACAAGACAAGTCATAGTCTTTGGCCCATAGAAACAAAGAGACAGTGTCAGCAGTCACCTCCAGTCTCTCTCTCTAAAACCTTTAAATCAGGCTAGAAATCTAAGGCTAATAATGAACTCAGACTTGAACTTTAACAGCTTCCTAAAAACACAGAAAAAATCAAAGTTATACTGTCTAAAGCAGGCTTGGAGAGACTTGCGTTTGTCTCTAGTAGGTTAGACTACTATAATGGCATGCTCAATGAACTCTGCAGCTCTGGTCCTGACTCGAACCAGGAAGTACGAGCACATAAGTCCTGTGCTCAGGTCTCTGCACTGAACTCTGTGGCCCAGAAACTAAAGTGGCTCTGCTTGTGTACAAGTTTGTTCATGGCCTAGCAACTAAGTACATCAGTGACACGTTAGTGCCATATGAACCATCTTGCACTCTGAGGAGCTCAGGGATCAGCCTCCTTCTGGTGCCCAGAGTCAGGACTAAACGCAGAAAGTCAGTGTTTTTAGTTTATGCAGCAAAAACCTGGAACAGTCTTCCTGAAGATGTGATACAGGCCTCTTCTTTGACAATATTTAAATAAACCAGGGTAAAACAGTTCTGTTTAGCAGTGCATATGACCGAAAGATTTTTATTCTGCACTCTTCTCTTTTAACATTAATTTTATAATAATTATTTATGCTTTGATTTGTTTGTATGGTGATTTTGATGTCTTTCTTATTCTGTAAATCACTTTGAATTGCTTTGCTTACAAATTGTGCTATAAATAAACTTGCGTTTCCTTTCATTGCCTTCTGTTGTTTGTAGACTTCCCATTACTAGAAAATAATTAACAAAATAATTTTTGGAATGTTCACTTCTGCAGTCTCAATTCTCTAAATCATGATTAGGACTGAAGCCCATTTGAGTTTTCGGAGAATAAACATGGGTCAACTTTGAAATGAAAATGTCTTGGTCAGCTTTTTTATGGAGGAACTAAACATTATTGCGCTCACAATTGTTTCTCTAAGTTGTCTTAATTTCTTACATCTGAAACCAACTAATCAACAGCATCCAGGCACTAGTAAGGGATTTATTTATTCTGTATAATTCTAACATATATATAATCATTCAATTGAATTTACTTACTTTCAGTTCTCTAAACACCTGCTTAAATTGACCTATGATTGCAAAATTACAATGAGAAAGGAGAAGTCAGAAAAGAAGAAGTCAGAAATGTGGAATCTGTGGAATCTGAAGTTTATAACCTTGTGTTCAATCAGTTTGTAACCATAAGCAGCACATTATTTTGGTTGGAGATGGACCTCAAGAGTCTGGTGCTCCTGTCTCTGCTCCTCTGGTCTCACTGTCAGGCTGAAGTGGTGCGCTCTGTCTCTAAGTGCACAGAGTTCTTCCTCCATGGGACTCCTCCACATATCCCTGGAGTGCTGGAGAATGGAGAGATAAAGGATCAGAACCGATACAAAGCAATCTGCCAAATTTATGCCAACCAGCGCAGGTTTTTCACTCTCTACGACACGAAAAACAAGATCCCAGTGTTTTCAGCGTACAAGTTCACAGGTGAAGGGACAATCAAAAGTCTTGATCTCACATGGATCATTGAGCCACAGGTATGTTTTTAATACTGGATACTGTTGTACTATGTAAATTAAAAGAGGATGTAAGGTCTTAAATCTTAAAGATCAGGTACCTACTTTTCAAAATGTGAAAAAGGAAAGCATTCATTAACATCTCTGACTTGTTCCTAGCTCTAAAAATTCCTTCGATAAATGACTAATATGCATGAATATTTTTTGATCAATAGCACAGCTTTAGCTTTAACAGCTTTCTCAGATGGAAAAGTAAATTAGGGTAAAAAGGGGGAACAGTGCAGATTAATGAACATTTAGATAAATGTAAACAAAAAATAAAACATACACACACTATTTCCAGAGACTATGTAGAGTTAGACAGGGCAGGTGAACAAAGCCAGTGCTTACAGTGTCACGTTAGTACAGACATTTAAAAATCCTATTCCACTGTATTGCACATACTCTTTTATTGCACTGCTTCTTACTGCATTTTAACAAGGTGCTTGAGTGAATATAATAAGAACAGTACATGTCCAGCTTTTAAACTTTTTAGAGTATACATGATCACATGATCTCTTACCCACAGATAAATGCTTTTTTTAAAAAGCAAAAGGAAACTGGTGCTTTGCTTCACTGAGAGGAAAGGAGCTTTCATCCAGATGTGACTCTGTTCTGCCTAAATGAGAGTCACCTCTGGCAATGGCTCCAATGTGCATGTACAGCCAATCTAGAGCTCATCCCAAAAAGTCATAGCACTTTCATACTGGTTTGAGTTCACAAAATGTTTCATAAAATGATTTCTGCTTTTATACATACTTTATAAAGGAAACACACTATTGTCATGTTTAATAATATTGGGTAATTCAGCTTAATATTGTATTAAGAAACACTTGTAATAAAATAAAAATATATAAATAAAATTAATTAGAATTAATGAAAGAAACAATAATTATTGTAGAATTTATTGGTCTATTTGTCTTTTTTCTTTCAGCTTGTATCAAATATGGTTCCAGACAAATGTCAGCTACATGCCACAGACAATAACTACAACAGAGGGCTTCTATTTCCCAGGTCTTATGGTTTCTCAGAAACCGACAAAATCTCCACTTTCACTGTGACTAACATTGTCCCACAAGAAGTAACGTTTAGCAAGGGGAGCTGGAATAAAATGGAGACGTGTGTAAAATGTGTCATGGAGAAATACTGCATGAACAGTAACAACAGAATTAAAGGGTATTTAGTGACTGGAGCCGAGCCTGGTAATAAGCTGCTCAACAATAAGACCAATATTCCTTCTGTGATGTGGTCGGCCTTCTGTTGTTACAGCAGCAGAGAACAAAGATGGATCGCGAGTGCACACTGGGGCAACAATGTCCCAGAGGAACCAACAGGCAAATACATGGAGACTGAGACTTTAACCCAACTGAAATTAAGAAAATCATCTGCTTTTGTGCTGTTTCCTGGAAGTCACTGTCCTTCAGACACCACAGTCACTGACTTTTATCCAGAGTTTAATGACCAGAAAGACTGTAACTGTCCACCAACTTCAACAACTACTGCATCTCCCAATACCACAACTGCAATAACTACCACACAACTGCCTACGACTACACAACCTGCTACAACTACGACTACTACTGCTACGACTACTACCACAACAACAACCACTACTACTACTACTACTACCACTACCACTACTACTACTACAAAAAAGAAAAATGAAAACAGAAATGATAAAAAGAAAAGCCAAGAAACTCGCAATGGCCCAAACCATCTGCGTGACTTTTTAAATGTTTTAAAAGAAATTGGTGAAAAAATTGCCAAAGCAGCAGCAGGGGCAGCAGTAGCCGGAGCAGGGGCAGCAGCAGCAGCAGTAGCCGGAGCAGGGGCGGCAGCAGCGGGGGAAGGGGCAGCAGTAGCCGGAGCAGGAGGAGGGGCAATAGGAGGAGGGGCAGGAGGAGGGGCTATAGGAGGAGGGGCAGGAGGAGGGGCTATAGGAGGAGGGGCAGGAGGAGGGGCTATAGGCGGAGGAGCAGGAGGAGGGGCTATAGGAGGAGGGGCAATAGGAGGAGGGATAGTAGGAGTGGGAATAGGAGTTGCTGTAGCGAATGGAGATGGAGCAAATTCAAAAACAGCTCCGCCACAAACCTTTCCAATACCAGCAACTGGCACTACAGGTCCTTTAGCTAATCAGAAAACAGCTTCAAATCTTCCATCTGAATCAGCTGTTGCAGTAACTAGATTGACAACATCTGAACATGATTCAGAATTACATAAAACCAATCCCTCAAAACCTCCTCGGCCTGTATCTGAGGCAAGCGTGACTGTTTTCACAGAGACTGAGCCCGTATTAAATAGAAATCCTTCAACTGAATCTGTCATAACCTCTACATTATCTGCATCTTTACCAAATCCAACCATAATAAGTCAAACCTCAAGTATCACCCAGGCCACCTCTCCTAATTCTGCTACAATTACTACAGTTTTGTCCACAGAAGTGACTCAGTTATCAGAGTTTACCCAAAGTAAAAATCCTTCAACTGAATCCGTCAGAAAGTCTACATTTCCTTCATCTTTACCAAACCCAAGCACAACCGGATTCTCAACCACAAGTCCATTCTCAAGTTTTACCAAGACAACTGAATCCTCTACAATTCCAACAGTTTTGTCCACAAAAGTAACTCAGTCATCAGAGTTTACCCAAAGTGAAAATCCTTCAACTGATCAAAGCAAAACTTCTACATTTTCTTCATCTTCACCAAACCCAGACACAACAGGGTCCTCAACCATCAGTCCATCCACAAGTTTTACCAAAACAACAGAGTCTTCTACAATTCTTAATGTTTTGTCCACAGATGAGACTCAATCATCTGCGTTTACCCAAAGTGAAAATCCTTTAACTGAATCCATCAAAAACTCTATATTCTCTTCATCTTCACCAAACTCAAGCACTGCAAGATTCTCAACCACAAGTCCATTGTCAAATCTTACTAAGACAACCAGATTATTTACAATACCTACTGTTTTGTCTACAGACAAAACTCAATCATCAGACTTTACCCAAAGTGAACATCCTTCAACCGATAATACCAAAACATCTACATTTCCTTCATCTTCACCAAAACCAAGCATAACAGGGCTCTCAACCACAAGTCCATTCTCAGGTTTTACCAATACACCTGAATATGCTGCTACAGTGACAACTGTTTTGTCCACAAAAGAGACTCAGTCATCAGAATTTACCCAAAGTGAAAATCCTTCAACTGATCAAAGCAGAACATCTACATTTTCTTCATCTTCACCAAACCCAGACACAACAGGGTCCTCAGCCATGAGTCCATCTGCAAGTTTTACCAAGACAACAGAGTCTTCTACAGTTCTTAATGATTTGTCCACAGATGAGACTCAATCATCTGCGTTTACCCAAAGTGAAAATCCTTTAACTGAATCCATCAAAAACTCTATATTCTCTTCATCTTCACCAAACTCAAGCACTGCAAGATTCTCAACCACAAGTCCATCCTCAAGTTTTACCAAGACAACTGAATCTTCTACAATTCCTACTGCTTTGTCCACAGACGAGACTCAATCATCGGATTCAACCTCATGTCCTGAAAATTGCTCCACACCTTCTTGTCAGGAAGCTTTATATCAACATTACCAAAACATATTAGCATATTACCAAATGTTGAATGTCTATCATAAAGATGACTAGACGATTTTTGGCTCTTTAAGGTATTACATGCAAAAATTACTCTGGTGAGCTTTGAGCCATGTTAGAATGTTTTTACCTCTTCAAAAACATATTCAAAGTTATGTTTTGTTTCATTCACATGTTTCAGTAACCGTTAATTATTAGTCTGTCTACATCTCCAAAGCTCAAAATACTTTGTTCTACCTTGTGACATCAACAACTGGTAGTTTTCAAGTTAGCACCTTTTACTTTTGTTTAGTAGAGATTGGCAATTTCAGGGTTGAAATTATTCAAATGATTCTAGTGAAGGTGTATGGAGTTTAAAAACACAGTGGGGCACTTCCTGTATTACCAGAGAAAGATTTTCTTTTATCTTGTGTGAAGACATTTTCTTATTCTTTTACAGAACTTTAGTAACTCTGTACTACTTAAACTTAATTTCAATCAGAAATCAAATCATGTTTAGCTTGGTGAATATGCTTATATGTAGCCTACTAGAGCCGACATGCATGTAATGTTATAGATAGCACAGAATTATAATTCAGGAAGCTGTGTTTATGGTTATATTTCTGGTTTAACGTCCATCTTAAGTCATCACCAGTGTCTGTGTACACTGCTGCATGTATGAAGGTCTCTTGAAGGTGGAAAAGAGCTATATAAAAATGTAACCATTTACCATCTGATCTTCCATAACTACTGACCCACAGCTCAAATGGAGATTTATTAGCCTACAGCTAATATGATCAGCTTGCTCAAATACACCTGCTCAGTAGGTATATTTAATGCATAGGGTTATGTGTTTTTATTACTGATTGTATGGTATGGTCCAGATTCTATACCTTAAAGTTTGTACTGATTAGATGTGTTGCATTACTGCATCAGGACTTGGGTTTGTAAAATTCATACATGTTTTGTTATGGCTCTGCAAAGTCTTATAACTGTAATACTTTCTGTAGGTCTACTGCTTTAAATGAGATTTAATCATAATTATGTTTACATGTAACCTAATAAACAGCATGAGAAGTATTGTGGCTCCTCGAGGTGCAGCCTGTCTGGTATTAGTAAACAAACTTGGGTCTTCGGGTTCCCTGGGTTTTGTGAATGAGGATCAGATGGGGAGGGGCGTTTGTGTGGGGCCAGCGGTGCGTAAAGAGCGCGGTGCGGAGACGTCACGGATCAGAGGTGAGCGCGACAACACAGAGGGGAAAAAAAGACAAGAAAGAAAGAGGGAAGAGGAGACGGAGGAGGGAGCGGACACAACAAGACACGCGCAGGTATTTAGCAGCAAACGACACGCAGGAAAGTGGCTCTCACCGCGTCGAAAATTTATCGCCTGTGTCAAATCGACCAACCTTGATTCCTGCATGATTCTGGGTTTGAGGTAAGATATAATTTTAAATAGATGTGCACGTGGATTAAAGTTCAGGTTATAAATTGGGGCTAGAAAATATTATTTAAATGTATCACTAACCAATAGTTGCATGTGACGTCATAATTTCAGACACAGAGCACATGCAAGATTAACTGTATTTAAAAGAAATATCCAAACAAAATCCACAAATGTTGAACCTTAACTTTATTTGTCATGTTTTAACTTTCCCATATTCACGTCCCCTCAACTGACAGCAATTATGTCATGTGAGTAGAATAATGGCACCACTTCCTGAAACTATTCTGAAAACTGTCATCATTTTACTTATTTATTTTTTAAATTTATGCTGACAGAAAAGACACTGAAATTTGAACGTTTTTTCATGTGGTTCAGTAAGTAAAGAGGTATAAGTTGTTAGGCGTGTTCTATCAAAAATCACAACTGGAATCGATCGATTAAAAGTAAAAAGAATTTATTCCCTGTCCAATACAATTCTAATACAGAGCTCTGGGTCAGACCACTATCCCTGATGGCCTATTCTACACAGGACTTAGTTTCAGGCAGTCTGAACACCTGCATCTGTCCCTTAACCCAGTATATATACATTCACAGAAATATGCATAATGATATGTTGATGAGGTTTACGCCTTGGATCCTCCCTGAAGCCTCTCCGTTTATGGGAATGACCGGATCTATTTAGGTTTGGTGCCAGCCAGAATGTCCCCTTGTCAGCTGCTCTGTACAGAATTTCCTTAAAAAGACACAACCTACACAGCTGTTTCTTTAAACACATATATCAGATTTCAATAGTTAAGCATTAATTGTGTGACTTCATTAACAACATTTAAACAAATATATGATTTCAGCATTTAATAATTGCATGTGGTATACTCACGACACTTTATTATTTGTTACAGCCTTCAAAATGTATCTACAAATATCATAACAATGAATAAATACAAAACCATTGCTACAAAAGTCTTGATTTTGGATTTTCTATTAACAGCACTAATAAGGTACACATTGCTGCACAAATGGAGAACATGGTGGCACAACTGGCCAATCCTCCAGCTTTTTACTGCAGCCTGATCAAGCAAAGCTCCAGAATTTAAAGGGTCCATATTACTCCATTTTGTGATCTATGTTGTAATGTTTCCTCATCATAAATATACATAGAGTTGTATTTTGTTTCATTCACACGTTTAACACACAAACCCTGTGTATTTAGGTCTCCATTCCACCTTGTGATGTCATGAGGTAATACAGGAAGTGGTCCAATGTGTTTTTAAGATCCAGCCACCCCCAGTAGAATCACTTGGATAATTTCAGCCCTGGAATTGTCAGCCTCTACTGAACAAAAGGTAAAAGGCACCTGTTCACTTGAAAACTACAGTCTGCTCCATGACATCACAAGGTGGAACAGAGCATGTTGGAGATGTAGACAGACTAATAATAAAGGGTTACTCAAATATGTGTGAATGAAACAAAACACAACTCCAGATATGTTTATGATGAGGTAACATTGTAGCACGACTTAAAGCTTTTGAGAGTAACAAACTGTGTGCAGTACTTCAGTTTACCCTTGCCATGCAGCAAATTGGCCCTGTGAAGGTTAAAGGCTGGCAGGACTTAGTAACAACAGGAAGAGTGTATGTAAACCATGAATAATTAAGGGGACAAGGAGGGATTTGTCAGCCTGAGCCCTGAGACTTACATAATCTTATAACAGTGTGAGATGGAAATTTAGCTGCTACTTTGTCCTGACTCATCAATAATGCAATCACCTATCATTATTGGCTTTATAATCTTATGAATTATGGATCCTCAATAACTTTTTAATCAAGTTTCCAGACTACTTTGCATGCATGCCTACAGGCGTTGGGAATTTTTTTTATCTATGATCTGATAAAAGGGAACTGTGAAGCTCATGGACATGTAAAACGCTAATGCAAAGATGTGTAACCCACTTATTTTCAGTTAAATCAACCATTATAGGAAGAATCTGGACCAGTTAGTATTCCAAACCCACAAACAAATCTTTTATGATTAATCTGTCTACATCTCCAAACTCAAAATGCTCTGTTCCACCTTGTGATGTCATAAAGTGGTAGTTTTTATGTTAACAGCTACCTTTTATATTGTGTTCAGTAGAGATTGGCAATTCCAGGGCTGAACTGTTCCAAATGAGTCTAGTGAAGGTGTGTGGAGTTTAGAAAGACCTGTATTACCACATGACATCACAAGGTGGAACACAAAACGCAACTCCAGGTATGTTTGTGATGAGGAAACAACATTATAACATAGATCAGAAAATAATGTAATATGGGCCCTTTAAGTTACAGCTCTATTTAGAAATCTGACCTATCTCCAGATGTCAGCACGCTCCTCTTTCCGGGGCTCAAAGTTTCGTCATGTTTTTGCGAAGCCAGCGTCTCGAGAGCACAGTTTTGATGGACTGCCAATCACCCGCGGCGTCCATGACACCCACTGCTGCGCCGTAAACCCCGCCTTCATCGCCGTGGTGACAGAGTGCTCGGGCGGGGGGGCCTTCCTTGTGCTGCCCGTCACTCATGTAAGTGATATCTGTACAATATCAGAAAAACAAAACATATACAGACCATCTCAAAAAATTTGAATATAATGAAAAAGTTCTATATTTTTGGTCACTCATTTCAGAAAGTTTTGAAAGCTTCACTCTGTGTGTCATGATGTGTGGTTTGTACTGCATAATTGAAAGTGATTCAGTTTAGTTGATGTTTTTCTGAAAAAGCTCTTACATGTGACTCTACAAAACAATTACTCTGAAAGAATTCCTTGATACAAGTGGGAAAATAAGTGTCCTTTGAACTGCCTATGACAGGTTAGACCACAAATTTTACTAAAACACACTTAAGATCATTATATTTATGATTTTTGGAAAAGCATTTACACTTGTTAGCCCAAGCTGGCAATTTTTTTAGGTTTCAAATTTGACTTCCTGTTTGGAAATTGTGGCATCACACTATCAGAACTCCTCTAATGTACACAGAAATTATTACCTGATAAATAAAACACCTTTATTTTGTTTACTTAATGTTTAAAGTATAAGAATAAATGTGTAAATTGTGTGGACAGAATTCTACCTAGTGTGATTGTGACTGTTAAAAATATGAGCTGCAATAAATAAATAACAGAATGCAACACATAAGTAGCTAGTTTGTATCTATAAGGAGTCATAGACATTCATAATTCAACCATGTACAGCTGAAATCTGATTGTAGTACAAAGAAATAGCCAAAATTTTCCCACTAATACACAGAAAACGTCCTTGCAATAAATATTGACCCCCCCAAAAATTATTGTTGATATAGTATTTCTCATGATAGGCCTGGTAGCAGAGGGTGGTATCTCTTGATGAGTTGTGTGCCCTGCAGACCGGCCGGGTGGACCCCCTGCACCCTCGGGTGTGTGGGCACAGGGCACAGGTGTTGGACGTGAAGTGGAACCCGTTTGACGACCACTGCATCGCCTCCTGCTCTGAAGACTGCACGGTACCTCACTAATAACACCTAAGAATCATATAAAACAGTAACACAACATATGGTTTTGTAGTGGTAGATTCAGGTTTTCTGAATAGGACTATTTTGAATAAGTAAGTGCAGAGCAGTGGGCGGAGGCAGGGGGCGGAGACAGGGGGTAGTAGCCAACAGAACTTTTCTGAGCCTCAAATGCAGGACAATCAAACATGCATGAATCTAACAAAACTATGGGGAACATATTATAAAGTTGTTTCCTCATCAAAAACTCTACATACGTACCTTCACTAGAATCATTTGGATAATTTCAGCCCTGGAAGTGCCATTCTCTACAAACATAAGTAGTTCTTAACTTGAAGACCACTTGATGACATCACAAGGTGGAACAGAGCATTTTGAGCTTTGGAAATGTAGACGGACTAAAAATAAAGGATTACTCAAACACTCTGTGTTTGTGTAGGTGAAGGTTTGGGACATACCAGTGAGTGGGGTGCAGAAGGACCTGACCTGGGCCACCAAGACTCTGATGGGTCACTCCAGACGTGTGGCCATCATCGAGTGGCACCCTACAGCTGAAAACCTGTTGCTGAGCTCTGCCTATGACTACAAGGTGAGTCCAGGATCGCATCAGAGGTGGGTAATAGTCAGTTACATTTACTTGAGTAACTTTTTAAAGGTGCACTGTGTAACTTTTTGGTTGGAGGTCAGTATGTTTGTTTCTATGGATATGTCATTGCTCTTCCTGGAATGCTCCACAGTGTGGACATTAAACAGCTCTACCTTACATGTATTCAGTTACAGGTTTTATAGCTCAAAAATACAGAGAAAAACATGCATTCTGACTGTGAGCATGGTCCCCTCTCCACAGATCTATAACTTGGTCTGGTTTGGTCTCCATGAAGGTGGAAAGGTTTAATACCATACTGTGAAACATTTCAGACAAAGAAATAACATTATATGGAAACAAGCATTTGACAGACCCTCCACCAGAAAAGTTAAACAATGTCCCTTTAAAGAAATATTTTTTTTCTTCTTCTTTTCTAGCATATACTTTAAGTCCTACTTGAGTAATATTTCTACTAAAGTAACACAACTCTTACTTGAGTAAAAGTTTTGGTTCCTCTTCCCATTGTGAGTAAGTTTTCAAATGACAAAAGCTTTATGTGACAAAATGAAATGATTTCAACATTTGTATTTCTTGCACCGCTCCTTCAGATATGATTGTCTCATCTTTGTGTCTATCCTTTAGAAAATACCAGATTACGTGCATTTTTGTATGTTTTGTCATGGTTTCTATGATACTCGAAATTCCAAATATTTGATTTGGCTCCAAATACACCCCTATAACTGCAAGCCTCGATGAGTTTCTTTTGACTGGAGCCGAGTGCTCTGGGTGATATCAAAATCACTTCGTCCACTTCTTTTTACATGATAATACTAATAATAATTACTATAACACCCCTTCTTTAAAAAAAATCACTGGATGGCTGGCTGGCTGTTTTTGACATTTTACTGTATTTATTTCATTGAACTAAACCTAACACGCTGCTTTCATGTTGTGTGTGTGCAGGTGCTGTTGTGGGACCTGTCACAGCCTGGGTCCGTGCTCAGGTCCCCAGTGCGTGTGGTCATGATGCCCTTTCTGTACCGCTGTCCCTCCGAGGCCCTGCTCCTGTCAGTCTCCTTCAGCAGAGACGGGAGCTCTCTGGCCGTAACCTCCAAGGACAGACGCATCCGAATCCTGGACCCACGCATGGGGAAGATACTGCAGGTGTCCAGCAGGGGGCCACACAGAGCCAGTAAAGTGCTGTTCATCAATGACAAGATGCTCCTCTCCACTGGCTGTTCTCCGTGGAACCAGAGGCAGATTGTGCTGTGGGACCCGGTCAGAACTCCAGTACATTATAGGCCTGTAGTGTGAAGTAGTGTTATCATGATAGTAATTAAATCATAGTACTTTCTTTTCTATTACCATGTGGTCTTATATCTGTGTAATTCCTCAGTGGTCCAGGTAGGTTTCATAGTGGTCCATGGGCATATTTTCTAGTCTATGTGCTCTTACACTTGTTCTGATACAGCTCATTCTAAAGCTATTCAGGAAAGGTTCATTTCTGTCCTGTCAATATCGTAACTTGCTTGAATGAGTATCTAGTTTTGATACTAGTTTTAGTATTTCGGAATCTGATTTTTGATACCTAGTAAACAGCACTATGAAAATTTATAGGCATTTGTGTATTCATTGCATTCACTATATACAGTCTCATAACCTTTGGAGGGCAGGGGCCTATATAACTTTATGGGCAATGTACAGAAAATCTAATATTTAGTCTTATCGTCTTATGGTCTCATCATGGTCAATGTGTCTAAGTTGACCAAAATGTAATTATTCTATTTGCTTGTACGATTTTTGGTATTTATATGCAAAAAGGCTCATAAACTCACAAGTTTAATTACTGTAAAAAACATTTTACAGTTTACATACAATTTTTCTGCACAGTTAGTCCTTTTGCATGAATCCCCATGCCAGTGTAGTCTTATGGGTGAAGTTTGGGTAAGATACACAAAGATATGTAATTTAGTCGACTACAGCCCTATCGATTACTTTGAAAAGTTGTTTAAGTATTATAATTAAATGTAGCAAAATTGGCATTGTGTATCAAGCAACCTTATCCTTAGTGTTGAAGTCAAGTGTAAAGGTGCACTGTGTAACTTTACTGGTAGAAGGACTGCTACTGGCTTGTCTCTATGGAGATGTTATTGCTTTGCCAGGAATGTTCCACAGTGTTGCATAAAACTTTTCACTTTAGTATTTATGTCATAACATTTTTTTATTGCTCAAAAATACCTTGCAACATGCAATTTTACTGTAACTGGGGTTGTCATTCCACTGGCCTGTTGGTGTTATCTTCTTGTCTCCATGGAGATATTATTAGTTACAAGCCATACTGTGAGACTTTCTAAGCAATGCACTAACAATTCCACTGATACAAAAGGTGATGGACTCCCTACCATAAAAGTTACTCAGTGCATCTTTAAATGTTACCATCATGACAACACTCACATGAGCCTTTTCCATAACTGTCTGTAATGATGCAGGGTTCCTATGTTGTTTCAGGAGGACCTGTCTGAGCCTCTGTATGAGGAGGACCTGGACGGAGCAGCTGGAGTCCTGTTTCCTTTCTATGACCCCGACACAAACATGCTGTACCTGGCTGGGAAGGTTGGACCCTCTGTGTGTGAAGCAGTGTCTCCTGTTAACAGAGGAGATACTTTATATACTTTATGCCTGCAGTATTATTATAGAAACTTACAGTAGTGACTCGACGTACAAAGATGTGGTCTAAGAAATTAAGTAAGATTAAAAAGTATTTGTGAAAACTACTACTCAAGTAACTAAAAGAGTAACTGTTGGGACATTGATTGACAATTTGAAACTAATGCAATTTGAAGGACAAAACATTAATTAAGGAACAAAATGTCTTTATGTCTGAAGAAGCAGTGCAAGAAACACACATGTTCGAATCATTTCATATTTCCACATAAAACTTTTGTCACTTGTAGACTTACTCACAGTGGGAAGTGTCACCAAAACATTTACTCAAGTAAGAGCACTGTTACTTCAACAAAAATATTACTCAAGTAGGAGTAAAAGTATGCTGCTAGAAAAGTATTCCGAAAAGTACAATTTCTTTAAAAAGTTACACAAGTAAATGTAACTGAGTACTACCCTCTTTGGCCTGTGATATAGTTAAATGCCATACAGTGTAACATTCTAGGCAAAGCAATAATATCTGCATACAGACAAGCAGTGGTGGACCATCCAGCAAAAAAGTTACACAGTGGAGCTTTAATTGTACAGAGTCTGCACTTATTTTTACTTATAATTTATCCTCTTATATTTTCAACTAATATTTACATAATGTGTGTAGACTGTGATGCATTTGTTTGTCGTAGGGTGATGGGAATATTCGGTACTACGAGCTGAGCGGCGAAAAGCCTTTCCTCAGGTTTCTCACTGAGTTCAGGTCCTTGCTGCCACAGAGAGGCCTGGGTGAGACTCTATTTGAATTAAAGGGCCCATATTACACTATTTTCTGATCTATGTTATAAAGTTGTTTCCTCATCACAAACAGACCTGGAGTTGTGCTTTATTTCATTTACCTTACAAACCCTACATATTTAGGCAGAGTTCTTCTCTTAAACTGAAAATACTCTGTTCCACCTTGTGATGTCAAGTGGTAATACAGGAAGTGCTCCATTGTGGTTTTAAACTCCTTACACTTTCACGTAAATAATTTGGATGATTTCAGCCCTGGAATTTCCAATCTCTACTGAACAAAAGGTAAAAGGTACTATTGACTTGAAAACTACCACTACATGACATCACAATGTGGAACAGAGAATTTTAAGCTTTGTAGATATAATTAATTAATAATAATAAAGGGTTACTCAAACATGTGTGAATGAAACAAAACACAACTCCAGGTATGTCTGTGATGAGGTAACAACGTTATAACAGTTTACAGCTCACAAAAGTCAGTTTCGTGTAATATTGGAGCTTTAATATTTGACTTTGTTTATGTTTTGTGTTTTTAGGAGTGATGCCAAAACGTGGGTTGAACATAAAAACGTGTGAAGTTTACAGGTTTTATCGCCTCATTTGTGTCAAAGATTTGGTGGAGCCGGTTTCGATGATCGTCCCCAGGAAAGAGGTAGATGGTTCTATTTTAAAAGTGCACCAAGTAACTTTCCTGGTAGACTGTCTGCTCTGTCTCCATGGAGATCATTGTTTTGTCCAAAATGTTCCACAGAATAGCATTAAAGGTGCCCTATAACTGATCAGTATATAGGATCAGAAAAGTTACACCAATAAACGTATCCATTTCCATGGAGACAAGCAAGTGACACCACCAAGCCTCTTTACAGGTCAGACCCATGGAGAGGAGGCCATAGTAATGCCAAAGGAATATTTTAATTTAGCAATAGCAAATCTGTAATTCAATACACGCAAAGTAGATAGCCATACTGTGGAACATACAAGGCTGGGAATATTACACATGTAGAAGTGGCTCAAATGGAAACTATTGTTGTGTCCTTAGGCAAAACACTTCACCCACATTGCCTAATATGAATGTTGTGTGTTTGTTAGAGGGGCCGATGACACAGATTGGCAGTCTTGCTCCCATCATTCGGCTCCAGGGTAGCTGTGGATACTATTGTAGCCACAGCTGCCCTGGGCTGACCACTAAAGCACTGAGCACCTTTGGGTGTCTTGAAAGGCAATATATCCTATTACATTATTTATTATCTCATTAGATGATTCTGATTCTGATGGATTTGCAAAAGAACTTTTTGTCTCATATGCAGCCTGGTATTTTCCATGAAGACTTGTATCCACCGACAGCAGGAAACCAGGCGGCCATGACGGCTCAAGAGTGGCTCGCAGGGGTCAACAGAGGTCAGTGTGTCAATGGTTCTAGTCCTAGTTTAGTCCTGATTTTAGTTCTAATTTACTGGTTTAGTCCTGGTTTAGTCATTACTTTATACTAGTATTAAACATATTTTACCCATGTGTTTTTGATTTTCAGGACCTATACTCATGTCTCTGAAGCCTGGGACTCGAGTGACCAACCCATACCCAGAATCGGCTCCTGAGAGAGGGCTAAACCGACTGCCCAGCTCCCACTGGATCCACTTAGAGCCAGACCTCAATGCACTGACACGAGACATGGACTTTATGGAGGAGGTACCACAATCATGTTTTAAATGATGAAAAAAGAACTGAAAAAGTTTGCTCAAGTAAAAGTACTCTTATATGCCTAAAAATGTAGTGTAATGTAAAGTAGTGTCACAATACAAAAATGTAAAATTCAAATTCAATACCAAGAAATAGACTAAACTCCTATACCATGATGATAATAAAAAAAAAAAAAAACACCGTCATTGGTAAGGCAGGTAATTTAGACAACAGAATGTGATTTTTAACATTAAGTCATAGTACTTTCTTTTCTATTCCCATGTGGTCTTGTGTTTCCATATCGGCCCATGGGTGTATACTAGTCTATGTGCTCTTATACTTGTTGTTCTGATACAGCTCAAGATCATTCTAAAGCTATTCAGGAAAGGTTCATTTCTTTCCTGTGAACATGACTTTTTAAATATTGATATCATGGACTGTATACAGAAGTGGACTAAGTGAGTGTGACATCAGTCATAGCATTCGGCTCCAGCCAAATGAAGCTCACAGATGTTTGCAGTTACAGGAGCAAAGTTGGAGCCGAGTTTTATATTTGGAATTGAAATTTATTTACGGACAAAATAGCGGACTAAAAACACCAGTATTATGTACAGCAAGTTAGTACGGACTTTTTAAGACCAAAATTACAAGGATCACAGCAGCAGTTACATGAAGAGAAGGGTGACAATATTCCAATATAAGTCAGTTGGAGTCAGGGTCAGAAGGAGCTGGAAATGCCCACCCCCATGAACACTTCGGATTTGGAACACGGTGGCTGGCAGTTAGCTATGTCCATTTATACCTATGATCTATATCTACTTAAATTACTATCTAGTTTCGACATTACTTTTAGTATCAATCTGATTTTCGATACTTTTGACAGCCCTACTTTTGTTTTCAGGCGTTCTATGAGGAGCAGTTGTCTTACCAGGATCTGAAGTTCTCCCATGAGGTGAATGATCTCTCAGGCTGGACCGTGGATGAGACGTTTCTGCCTCTGTGGCCGTACTGCTGCACACCGCACTGCTGTGAGCCCACTGAGAGACCACCTCCAAACACTGAGTCAGAGGTACACAAAATCATTCAACAAAATCAAACATCACAGCACTAAATAGATGTATTTCATTTATTTTCATGTTATATGCATTCATTTGATCATCTTCAAAATACATTTATTTAAGATCAAAAACATTTTTGAGTCTTAAAATCACTATTGTTAAAGTGGAACTAAACTCTACACTATTTTGTTTAGACTATTGATAATTACATCTCTGAATGAAATTAATGATTTTCTGTATTCAAATATCAGCTTTTACAGGCATTTTACAAACAGCAAGAAGAGATAAGAGAACTACGGGAGCAACTGAATCAGAAAGAGGTTAAAAAAAGAAAAATAAATAAAATAAAATTGGTGTAAAACCGATGGTAGTAAAATCTGCAAATTATTTTCTCTTATTTTGTTGCAGGAGAGAATTTCCCAACTTGAAATAGAGATTAAAGTAACAAGAAACAGCATGAGGGCTTCGTTCTGAATGTGTCTTTTATTTTTAGTTCAATCATTTTGTTTTTGTAAAATTCTTTGTAAGCACTGAAAGATTTTGATAAATTTATGTTGACTGCAATGCACCTTTTCCCCACCAGATGTCACTAAAGATCAGATGCTGTAGAAATATTGGTATCTGTTCTTTTTAAATAGAGTTAAGAACAATAAAATTACTTTGATGTGAAGTCAAATTTGCACTTCTGAATAAAAAGACTAAAAGAATGTACAATTGCAAATTTGTAGGAACTTTTTGTCTTTATGCATGACAATAAAATTTCAAACTCAAATTCGATACTAAGGAATAGAATTGACGCTATATACTGATTCTGCAACCATAATGATATTAAAAAACCCTCTTTATTTTCAGATACGGCTTAAGATCATTCAAAAGCTATTCAGGAAAGATTTATTTCTAATGTGTGACTTTTTTAGTATTGATACGTGTTCAAATTTAGTTTCTATCAATTAGTACTTGATTGTCTTTTGATAACCCTATATGCCTATTACATACACTTAAAGCCCATATGACAGGTTAAACTATTAATTTCACTGAAACATAGTAAAAGCTTATATAAAACAATGTTTAACTAAGAACCTATTCTGGTGAAGATTATAATTTTACTTTCTGGTTGGACAGGAGCAGCAGGTAATTCCACAATTGTTACCTACCTACCTAACCCAACCATGTTGACAATGCCTCGTCTGAATTGTAACTACAGCAGAGTCCCAATTCCAGGGCTGCAGCTTTCGAAGACAAATTGGGACACGGCTTATGTTTAGACTAATTAAAAACATGGCAGCACCTTTTTCTTAAATGAAGGTTTAAACTGTCAGAAAAACACCTTCCTCGTAAACTGTCTCTGAATTTTGGATGAAGTTTACCGTGTTGATGACAGGTTTAAGAACTCAGCACCACTTCCTTCCACAAAAATACTATCTCACCAAACTAAAGTCATTAGAAAAACATTAAAACCTGTCTCATGAACTTCAAAGATATCTTCACTCAAAATCTTTTCTGAATCTCAAAAAATTCTAATTCTAAATAAAGAAACCTCAAAACAGCAAGAAAATGTCACAAAATGTTAAGATTTTATTTACAAAGTCCTTTGAGTATTTATTTTTGGATTTTCCTTTAAGTTACAGAAAAGTAAAAAAAAAAAAAAAGAAAATCAACAACAAAAAGAACAAAAGCCAGTCAGTGTATGAACGGATCTACAACCACACAAAAGCATATTTCAACAAAATTGTAATTTTCTGCAAAAATATTTATTTTAAAAAGCTTTTGTTTGGCGAAAGACAGAAGAGAAGACATTTGCCCTGAGCGCGACCGGCCGCAACAAAATTATGGATTATGAATTTTGTTTAATTTAGTATATTTGTAGTCTTTTAATTTAGTTTTCTACACAAACCTATTGCCTTCATTAGATAGGAGTTTGCATGCGTTACTTTGGGATGGCAGATCTGAGCTATGACAATGAATACTGCTTATAATTAGGTCAATGTTTAATAAATCATGTGCGTAATATAACTAGGATCACATAGCTGCTGTCAAAAGATTTCCCCAGGTTTTTAGGTGGTATTGTAGCACAGAAATGTCGCCAGTTCAAGGACTAAAGCGCTTAAAGATTCACTATGTAACTTTTCTGGTTGGGGAGGGGTCCACTATCTGCTTGTCTCAATTTACTTAGTGTGAAAATGTTCCATAGTAAGGCATTAAAAATTTGCTTGCAATTGAATAAAGGCAAGATAGAAGTTTGTCATTGCTTAAAAAAAAAGTATTCAAACTGTATGACCTTGTCTCCATGAAGATAAATTTAATGCCATACTGTGAAACATCTCAGACAACGCGATAACATCTCCATGGAGAAAAGCATTTGACAAACAGTCCAACAGAAAAGTTACACAATGCACCTTTCGATGCCACATTGCGGAACTTTTACTGGGGAGACCTTCTTTCTGGAGTTGTATAAAGGAGGAACAAAATAAAAATGTTAAAATAATTGATTATAATTCTTTTTAAATGCAACACACCAATGAAAAAGGAGACTTGGTAGCCAATAAAAGCTATGTATTTTTCCCCTACATTAAACTTGTCATTGCTCCCATCTGCTACTCCAAAAACTGTTGACAATAACTATTGAAGGAAAAACAACGATGCATGCCCACGTATCCTAGACCACTTTTGTACACATACAAGACTACCACTTCAATATGCACAAAATATTATAATCTTTTGGGAATCATTGTACTGTTACTTGGTTTTAAGCTGCCAGTTGAGGGACTAAAGAGCGCTTAAAGATTCACCATGTAACATTTCCTTTGGAGAGGGGTCCCACTATTGGCTTGTCTCTGAGAATGTTCCATAGTACAGCATTAAATTTGCCTGCAATTGCAATGCAAGATAGAGGTTTGTCACTGCTAAATAATAAAAAAAAGAAGCCTTCACAGCATTCAAACTAAGCGAGGTCACCTCTCCACAGATCTGACCTTTAATTTGGCCAGGTGGCATCGCAAGCTTGTCTCCATGAAGATAAATTTAATGCCATACTGTGAAACATTCCAGGCAATGCAGTAACAAGGACATCACAAGCAGGTGGCATACTCCTCCACCAAAAGTTACAAAGTGTATCTTTAAGGCAATGCACATACCCTTCTATGTTCTGGTTTATAAAGCTTAATTTAGTTGATTCTTTAGCAGTCTGGATGTGATTTTTTTTACATTTGGATAAAGTTGTACAGGGTAATAAGACCTGGAAGAGGAAGTGATTGAATGCGGCCATGTTTGGGTGTTTGAGAAGATCATGTGATGCAGGTGGGAGGAGTCAGAAGGAGGTCACGTGGTTCTGGAAACGGGGCGGTCTCTATTAATCGTCATCGTCATCATCATCTTCGTCGTCCTCTCCGTCTCGCTTTCTCTTCTCTCCTTTAGTCGGAGAAGAGTCCTCATCTGTGGATAAGAAGTTACAAATTAAGGACCCATCTGTTGTACCTGGAGCTGTGTTTTGTTTCATTCACACATGTTTAACTCACAAACCCTGCATATTTTAGACTAAGTTCTTCTCTCAAACTTAAACCATGCTGTTCTACCTTGTAATGTCATGTTGTAATACAGGAGGTACTCCACTGTGTTTTTAAATAACCAGTAGATACCTTTTACCTTTGGTTGACTTGAAAATTGCCACAGAAACTTACATATGGTATGTCATACCAGAGTCCTGCACTGACAATTTCATGCTGGACCGTTTGCACACATTTGTTAACGTTTTACAGAAACAAAACTTAAGACCGCATGGCTTATTTGCATAAACTATAAGCGCTGAAAAAAACGTCTCGCTTCTTGTGCCGCTCATGCGGTCAGCTTCTGTTGGACTAAAAGGCACGACTCAGTGTGGTGGTGAATTAATTTGCGGCGCATAGACCTCGATGGAGACCCATAAATCAAAAATGACTGACAAAGTGACGGCAGCAGTGTGCGTTGAGTCGTCGCAGAACTATACTTCGCCCTTAAATTGGGCTTTAAGAGCACTGCAAAAAAATGTGGCTTTGACGCTCCAAAATTGTGTTGTCTGAGATCGCGATAATCGGTCCAAAACAACATCAATATCAATACAATAAGATCTTTCAGTCTTATTGCAGAGTCGTGCTAAAATCAATAAATGTCAGTAGCTAAATTTTAAACCCTTCACAAATGCAGAAAAAACTTCAGGACATTTCTGCTTTTAAAAAGGTAGGTCTTTGTGTGTAGAGTGTAATGCCAGTTTCAGAGCCTGATAAATATTTAAATAATGCAACAAACTGAAATAATACACCTAAAAATACTCTGGTTGTGGTTTCTACAAATTTAGTTTTCTTAGCATTAGGTTTGCATTAGCACTGGTACACAAACACGTGGCAATTTGGTCTTGTGAGATCTCATTCCATCCCTCATTAGTATTTGAAAATCTGATGTAGAGAAGAAAAAGCAGATGAAAACTGAAGCTCTTTGGAACTTCCAATTTTTTATTTTATAAAGAGCACTCACCATCATCCTCTTCATCGTCGTCATCCTCATCATCATCTTCACTGTCAACATCACCATTCACTTCTCCATCCTTAAAAATATAAGAATTAAACATTGAATTATGGCAGACATTTAAGCTACATTATTCAATTACCTTTTTTTCTCCTTCACATTTTGTAATATAGTGAAAATAAATCAATAAGATAATTTTTTTTTTGAAAACATCAATTTCAAAGAAAAGGGTATGATATTTGACACCCCCTTTTTGTCAGTTTCAGTTCAAACTCTGACCTCATCTTCATCGTCGTCGTCCTCATCCTCTTCAGCGACAACATCTTCATCATCGTCTTCCTCCTCGTCCTCGAAGTCCTCAGACTCGCCCTCTGAGATTCAAAGAAGAATGTTACTTTCCAGCCCAGAATGGTGGTAATGTGCAGAGATGATTTATCAGATGGTTTTTCCAGATATAGATATTAATACTTTGCAGCTGATGTCATCATCATTGCCTGGGGGTGTGAAGCTAACTGGAAGACCTACTCTGACTGACCTACTCAAGTTAGAGAATCTGATCTTTATTTTAACAAAAATCTGACCATAAAGAACCGACTTGACAGAAGCTACAACAGGTGAAATGATTGCGGATACTGTATCATCATATTCAGTAACACGATATTTCAAAATTTCAGTATGTTAGAAGGCAGAAATTAGCAATTTTAAGTTATAACCTAGTGATGGGCCAAATGAGTCGACACTTGTGTCGAGCTCAGCAGGTGATGCCTGTGTTGAGCTGTGCCGCTGTGCATCACTTTAAGAAAAGTCACGTGACCAATACATCTACTGTGTCATTTGGTGTGGCTCGTGTCTGGAGCCCTGACGTGGCTCATTTAGAGTGAGGAGCACAAGGCTCAAAGTCATCGCTGTGTTTGTTCATCACCACAGAACCACAAAGAAACAGAAGATAGGCTTGTTGTGTGGGCTCATTTTGATCAATTCCAAGAGGAGCTCACTACAGATTTACTGAAAGAACTTTATTATTTTATCACTTTCATAAGCATTCATTGTACTCATTCATATCTGAATGAATGAACCCCACACTGTGTCAATGCTTCTGCATCGGAAGCAGTTCATTTTTTTTTTTAAACCACACAACACAGTGTCTACACTGTGTCAACACAGTGTTGGAAATGTGTTACACACACCTTAAGGCCTCATCTAGCCATCACTATTATAACCTGGAACAACCATATTACCTCTTTATGTAGGTCAATGTTTTGTGCACATTGTTCCTGATAAACATCTAAACTAAATTAAACTCACAGGTAGAACTGGACATAGAACAGTGTTATGTAGTATTTTTACACAACCATGCAACAAGCAGCTGCAAAGTATCAATAGAATTAAAGATGGAAAGGAATCATTCACAGTGAACCATGAGCAAAAATAAGAATAAAAGAACAGTCCTGACCCAGACCTTCTTCTTCATCCTCGACCCCGTCTCCCTCCGAGTCAGACGCCTCGCAGTCGTCGATGTCATATCCATCCAGATAAGTGAGCTGTGGGAGAAGCTTAAAGATGGACTCTTTGTAATCTGCCAGGTTTGTCACTTCACAGTTAAACAGGTCCAGGCTCTTCAACTGGGGCAACTTTTTCTACAGGAAGATAAAAAAATTTTACAAAATAAGACTCTATAAATAAGGTCCATCACTATTTTAGTTAGGATCAGTTAATGGTGTTTTGGTCGACCAAATGTACTTAGATAAGGATTTATGTGGGACAACATACTTTTTTTTTTTTGGCAAGTATACGTAAAAAAGCAGATTAAAGTCACTTCACAAGTTTAATCTGTGTTTATATAAATACATAATCGTTTTTGCTTTTGCCACACCTTTTTAGTCAAATAAAGACATGGCTTTTGTCAAATACAGTCCAACAAGACAGTTCAGTCTATAGCTAATAAATTAAGTATTATACTAAAAGTGAATAAACTAAATGTGGGCCTCACCAGTGGCTCAAGCGTGCTGATATCTTTGAACTTATTCCCGCTCAGGTTCAGATGTGTAAGATTCACCAGTCGCTCAGCCAGAACCTCCAGACCCCCAGATATCCTGTTGTCACTCAGCTCTAACTGCAAAATAAAACACAAAACACATATTTACTTTAAGTGTCAATAAATATGTGGCTTTCCAAGCAACAACTTGAAATGACTGCTTCTAATCCAAGCCAGAACAAATGGGTTATTCATAATAACAATACAAATGCATTAATTTATCATTGGATTTATATACCACCTTTAAAAGCACTTAACAGAGTATTATTCATTCACTCCACAATCAGTGGTGGTAAGATACTACTGTAGCAACAGCTGCCCTGGGGCAGACTGACAGAAGTGAGGCTGCCAATCTGCACCATTGGCCCCTCCGTCCATTACCAACACTCACACTACATTCATACTAAGCAATGTGGGTGAAGCGTCTTGCCTAAGGACACAGCATCAGTTTCCACTAGAGCCACTGTTGCTCCACTGTGACACTTGATATTCCCAGCAGTTTCCCATCCAAGAACTAATCAGACCCTAATCATCCCCACTTAGCTTCTGAGGTGAAAGACCAAGCTTTCTGAATGTGATCTCTCCATATCATAGCCAGCCCCCCACCCCCCCAAAAAGACTAACAGCCCATTTCACAAGAATCTTGCAAAAATTATTTTATTGGCATTCCTGTACATAAGAACATTTTTATTAACCTGCTGTATCCCATTTGAAAACACAAGCTATGATAACAGACTGGGAATAATACATATTTGAAGCGGAAATTAAACATTACCTTTTTGAGTTTCTGAAGTTTAGGGATCTCTGCGACGCTGGTCAGACCGACATTGATGAGGCTGAGACGTTCCAGGTTTGCAAACTCTTCTGTGATTCCCTCAATCTTCCCTTCACTTGAGCGACAGTTGTCCAGAACCAGCTCCTTCATCTACAATTAAAATATTATCAAATTATAACATTTAATACAAAAGTAGTAAACATTATATGTATGTGGCCACAATTTAAGTGTAGTAGTAGTTACATTATGGTATCAAATTATAAATCTATATTTTTATGAAGACAAGCTGGACCACCAGGCAAAATCAGAGGTAAGATCTATGGAGAGGCGACCTAGTCACAATAAGAATGCACGTTTTTCATTTGATTTGCAAAGTGCAATTGAATAAATCCAAGGAAGATATAATTAATGCCATATTATGCAACTCAACAGAGACAAGCAATTAACAGACCCTACACCAGAAAAATTTACTTTAAAAATGTTCAGTACCTTTACTAACATTGTCGTTTAGTTTTTTGTCATATTGTCCACTCCTACTTAACTACTTAAATATCCCTCGTGGATCAATAAAGTTTGTCTAAGTAAGTGTCTACTACCAACTGTAGTGAAAAAAGACTAAGATCAGGCCTACATTACTTTATTAATTCAACCGTGGCTGTATAAAGGAAAGATGTTTTGTTTTTTTACACTATGAGTCACTCAAATAACTGTCATCCTGTCATCACCACAAACTTGCAAAGATGCAAAGAAAGTGCGATTCAACTTCTCTGCCACAACAGGGAAACGCCAAATGGTATTAAGAAAGTCCCTTAACAATTTCCCCCTTTTTAATACACATTTATGGTAATTTTGTTCAGGCGTAGAATGGTAAAACATTATATGAAATGACTTGTCTTCTCAGATTAAAAAATATATACTTTTTATTATGTTATTAGATGTAGTTATCATGTCGATCCATTAACCTGATGCAACTTTAGAGGCATTATCTACTCGTCTACCTCGTTTAATCTTAAGCAATGTAGAAAATGTATCGCCAATTTAAAAGAAAATGGGGCATTTACTTTGGCATAAAATAAGTAAAATAAATGTAGTGATTAAATTTGTTTCATAATAAAAGGGTTGCGAATCCATCCACCTGCTGTTGGTAAACTCAATACATGCGTGTCGCTGCCAATTAGCCGCATAGCTAACATATATTTATTAAACTTTTTGCAATTGCTTTCATTTTTTCATATAATTAAGCATATGTAATCGATCTACCGAACTCAACGTTGTGATCTATAATAACTTTGTGATTAAAGATAGCCGCATGTTATCATAAAGTAAGAAATTGTAGCATTTTAGCTAACTAGCATTTTACTAGCTACGCGCCTTCGTGCTTGGGCTCCGACTAATCTCTGGGTAATGCTGCCTAAGGGTGCAACATAACAGGAAGATTAATTTTACAAAGTGACGTATAATTAATATTTTGTGACTAAAAATACATTTATATATTGAAGCTCTAGCAAACACACACCCACTGCAAGTGGGAAAATAGCAAAATATGTCGTTATCATGATGTACACCAACATTACTCTTGCATTTCTAAACTTCTAAACATTTTAATTAGTCGTAAATTATTAGACATTTTAATTCATCAGTTTAAGTGAAACATTCAGTGCTAAAATTGTTATAGTTGAGCAAATGCAATACAATTTAACAAGGCATCAGAAACTAGTCGGGCCCACGAGTAGATTTTTACGAATAACCTACAACAAATATTAGCAATTCTTGTAAACTTTAAACTCCGTAATTGATTTTTTTTATTATCACGATTGATTAAAGAGGGAATAATTTGCAAGTATTGTGCACCAAAATGAATCCAAAACTGAACTGTGACTTGCAGTTATCGCGCGGCACAACTGCGCGTAAAGCGAGTTCCAGCGCGTAAAAACAGATTATCGTATTTTCTTAAGCAAAACCAGTCAATTTGTACAGCAAAACACGTAGCTTTGAATACATTTAAGATATTTTGGGCATTCTAAAACATTTCCAAGCCTGCAGACATCAGCCATGTGCTCGAAGACTCCTCCTCCAGCAGCTCTAGCCGGGTCTATGGACAAATTACGCGGAAAAAGAGCGCACGGAAACGGGCACTTACCTCTGAAGGAGACCGGTGCCTCAACTCCAGCGAGAGCCTCTTTTTCATGTCCATTTTGGGCTGTTTTTGGTCTGAGTTGGGATCGTAAAATGTTTCTTCTTGGTTCTCTCTTCGGTAAAAACACGAGGAGCCGCAGTGAAGACAGAGGGGGGCTTCGGGCTCCGGATTTCACAATAAAAGTTCTTAGTTCCTGACTGCTTACATCCGTCGGGCGTCAGGCTCATTCAGTCAAGTCTGAGAAAAAGGAACAATGAACATGTTTGAAATAACTCGTAGCTTGTCAGTAGATGTGTCATTTATCATTTATGGATGCTTTTATTTATGTATTTTTTTCAGTTTCTATTTCTATTTTGTAACAGTGAGTGATGGCACCTCTTCAAAGATCTGGCCTGTAGCTTGGACAGGTTTTGGCCATAGAAATTGATTCGCTTTATGAGGCACCGTGGAACAGCCTAATTTAGGCTAGTCTGTACATCTGTGCTCTGATACTGTACAGGTTCTGGAAATTTGAATAACAATTACAATGACTTGTGGGCAAGGAAAAACCTAAAACCTAAAATTCAAGCTTGATTTACGATTATAATATGAATAAAACACACGCACACTCTCTTTAGAATGTGATTTTTTGGTTACTTTCTGTCCTGTGAGTGTGACTTTTTAAAGTTCCGATATTTGCTCAAATTTGTAGTTTTGATGCTATCTTTAATATCAATTAGTAGCCTGATTTTCTGTACTACTTTTGACATCTCTGTTACCTTATATATTACAAAATAGGACATTGGATCACACTTCTTTCTTTTCTATAGTCCTAAAATAGTTGTTTTTGAAATTTAATCACAAATCACATTTTAATGTGACGGCCGGGCGGCCCGTTTCCTCTGCGGCTCTGTCCAACTTTATAAAACGTTTGAGCTTCGTGTGAAAAATGGGTCAAGCCGTTTGATGCTTTAAGAAACCATCGGATATTTTATACCAATCCATATAACCCCCAAATTGTTTATCGTAGATCGCTATTGTGGTGGTCCCAAAGAAATGAAATGATGTATACACATAAAAACCTACTTAAGTCATATTTATTCATATTGTATATTTTATTTTTAATGTAGTTTTTATTTCGTTATTTTTAAAAGTGTTAGCGAAACAGAACATAAAGCAATAAATGTACTTATTCAAACTGGAAATACATTTATAAAATCAACATGCTAACGTGTAACTTCTTGTACAGTCTTGTTTATTCTGATGTCAATTTTAAAAGCAGAATAGTTAAAATTTGGCCAAAAATGTTGCATTTTCCGGGAGCACGTGAAGGCAAGATTTGGAGGGAAACTGCGCAAAGAAAAAAAACATGGACTGTATTAACAAAATATTTAGATTTTAGATTCTTAAAAATGTCCACCCTTTACTATGATCAATTCTTTGCACTTTTGGCAGTCTTTGACCCTGAACTGGCACAGCTGTGAAGTGAAAACCATTTCATGTTTGGTTTTTTTTAAACATATGCTGTATAATTCTTTAAATCTTGCATTGTATATTTGATGTCTTCTGTATCTAAAATATAGAAAGTATTGAACAAAGAAAAAAACTTACGAGAAGGTGTGTTCAAACGTGTACATGAAGCGGGTAATAATATTTTAGGCCATTTTATCTTTGCCCAGAAGATGGCGCTGTTGATCATTTACGTTTGTAGTGTACTGAACTACGTTACGTAACAGTTGAATTGAATTTTACTGAATATACTCATTACAAATTCAAACCTGGGTCAGAAAATAGAATTTTATAATGGGAAGTGGTATATATTTGATTCTGGATTTATTTCGGATTTAATACTTTTAAAATAATAAATACAATGATTGTAATGCAAACTCCTTTTTTTTTTTTTTTTTTTTTTTTTTTTTGTTAGTGTTCTTGCCAGTCCAGAAAGAAAATGCAAGCAATTGTCCAAATAATGCCCATATTACACTATTCTCTGATCTATGTTATAATGTTGTTTTCTCACAAATATTCCTGGAGTTGTATTTTGTTTCATTGACCTCAGAAGGTGGAACAGGGTGATTTCGATTTGAGAGAAGAACTCCTAAATATGTAAGGTTTGTGTGTTAAACATGTGTGAATAAAACAAAACACAACTCCAGGTATTTGTGATGAGAAAACAACAGATCAAACAATGGTGTAAGTATGTGCCCTTCAGGAGGTCTGAGTGCAAATGTGAACAGTGAACGAACCCTGAAATACAAAATAAAGTGACAGAATGAGCTTTATTACATTGCCATAGTGATATCTTTATTGTCATTACATTGTAGTCATCTTCACGACAAGCAGATATACATACAGTGGTCTTATATATCATTATCCAGTACAAGGAGAGCAACAGTTAGTATCACAGCTATTCAATGACCACGCCTCAAACATGTGCCCAAAGCCAGGCCCGGAATTCAACCCACAACCCACAACCCCACATCTTAACTGCTCCATAAAGACAAAACCAGTATCTATTTGGATTTTCAATTAAATGGAATTAAATCAGTATAAAATCCTCAAAGTTTAGTGCAGAAAAATGCCTTGTTGATTTGGGATAAACTAAAACTAACACTGGTTTGAGTAAACCAGGGTTGCATCAGAGTTAATCTAATAAGAAATTTCTAATTTAGGATTTAACTCAAATGAGATTAACAATGGAAACTGTTACAGAATGGATCTAAAAAAGGATTAAATCGAACTTTGTCTTGCCCTAAACCAGGACCTATACACAGGTCTAAACCACGACTAAACCAGGTCTAAACCAGGTCTAAACCAGGATTTAACCAGGCCTAATCCGGGTCTAAACCAGATCTAAACCAGGATTTAACAAGGACTAAATCAGGTCTAAACCAGGATTTAACCAGGTCTAATCCAGGTCTAAACCAGATCTAAACCAGGTCTAATCCAGGTCTAAACCAGGATTTAACCAGGACTAAATCAGGTCTAATCCAGGATTTAACCAGGTCTAATCCAGATTTAAACCAGATCTAAACCAGGTCTAATCCAGGTCTATACAAGATTGCATCAAAACTAAATAATATCTAATTTGAGCTGTCTTTGTGGAGCAGAAATGTCTTGATAACTAGTGCCTGACCAATAAATATGACACTTAAATAAATAAATAAATAAATAATACCTCTTATAACTCTTTACAGACGGTCCATATTCAGGCTGTAATGTGAACTCCCCCCCCCCACACACAGAGCCCACAGAAAACACAGGTTCAGAGGCGAAGGGCACAAGGAGAACAGTAAACGTAACACAACATGTCAGACCACGCCCACTTTACTGTGAACATACAAGATGATGATTAATGCTTTAAAGGAAAGATTTTGACTTCTAATTTCATAAACCTGACCTATCTGTGTCCCCAGATACGAGGTAGAAAAATCCATTGTAGGTTTTACTGATAAAAGTTCTAAAGCTGATTAATTCTTAATTACAAAAAACATTGGATAGGATGGATAAGTTGTTTATTTTATAAATTCATGTTTTGGTTCAAGTCGGTTAACCAGTCAGAAAGCAGAATGAGCCACACATTTGGGTCTTTCATTTGGGTTTCAATGCTGAAATCCAGTGTGTTTAAACCTAAAATGTCTCCCACTGATCTGAATGGTCTCCAACTAAACCACAGCACCGACAGTCAACCATGAGTCAGTGCTAGTGCAGCTTCTGCACTAGCACTGACTGGGAGGGTATTCTGGAGGTTTTGAGATTTCACGAGGCCTGGCCTGCCCATATAGGCTACTGAGAAGGAGAAAAACTTGGACGCACCCCTGCAGGTTGGGCTCTGGCAACACAGGTTCAGTTGTGAATGTGGTATTAAAAATAAGTTTAAAAAAAAACAGAGTGCTGGATACATACAGTACTACTATTAATGAAGATATTATTAAATTGGTAAAGTATTATAAATTTTTTTGTTAAATGTGGGTGTGGTCTGACAACACTGTTGTTTTGAAAACAGTGAACAATAAATAACACTGTACAAGTCCCTCATTGAGGTTAGAATCTGTGTCGCCAAAGAGGGCACAAGAACAATCCAAAAATAAAAATAAATGAAATCAGCTTCAGAAAAAGGCAGACAATAAATAAGTAAATGACTCTTTAAAATGTTTTAAAGCACTTTTCCATTTCAAAATCACACATGGAGATAACAGTAACAGGCATGGAGTAACAAGAGGAATGTAAAAGAGCCAGAGGTGGGTAGAATAGAATAGAAAATGACGGTAATGTTACTTCAAAATAATATAAATGAAGTAGAAGTACAAAGCAGTGGTCCAAGAAATTACTTAAGTAAGAGTAAAAAATAAATGAGTAGTAGTTTTTTCCAAGTAAGAGTAACTTAAAGAGTGACTGCCAGCTGACTTACTCAGAGTGGAAAGAGAAATCAAAACTTTTATATAAAGGAAGAGTATTGTTACTTCAATAAACATATTACTCAAGTAGGTGTAAAAGTATGCTGCTAGAAAGGACTTTAGAAATATAATTTCTTTAAAAAGTTACTCAAGGAAATGTGATTGAGTACTACCCATCTCTGGCCAACAAGTTCAAAATCTAGTTTAAAACAAACCCAAATCAGCTACAGAAGTTAGAAGTTGCAGTGAAAATAATAAACAAATAAACTGTAAAAGTGTTTGCAGGGTTTGACAAAAGAGGTGAAATGATTTGGCAAAGCTTAGAGTAAGTTAGGTACAACATATTATTGTTAATCTTTATTGCATTGTGTCATTATTCAGTTTTTGAGCTTATTTCATGTCCAAGAGGATACTGAAATGCAGCATTCTGTAAACAATGTAGCTCGTAGTAGTAGTAGTAGTAGTAGTTTGAGAGCAATAGTCCGCAGTCAGTTTGGGTTGTAGTAGAGGTATGGTAATAATAGCAGAACTAGTAGTAGTGTTGTCACAATACTAAAAAATTCTAACTCAATTTTGATACTAAGAAATAGACTCGATACTCGATACCAATTCCTATAGCACAATCTAAAGCCATTCAGGAAAGGTTCATTTCTGTCCTGTGAATGTGACTTTTTTTTGTGTCGATACCTCCTCAAATGTGTATTTAGTTTCGCTACTAGTTTTAGTATAATGCAGTATCTGTTTTTCGATACTTTTGACGACTCTTAGTAGTAGTAGTAGTAGTAGTAGTAGTAGTAGTAGTA